GTTTGAAGGACATAATCCCCGTACTTGAATACCATACCACTTGCGGTTCAATAAGTTTTAAAGATCAGGTTCTTAACATCCATGGTCTATCACAGGTACTTAAGGGAGAAAAATTTCGCACACAACATATATATATATTTTGGCATGCATGTCAAGATTTAAGAAAGAATAAGCAGTGTGTCAAAAATACCTAAAGAAATGAAAGACATCTTCCAACACATTTCTTAACCACATTATTAGAACTTCAAAGGACAGCCAAACCCAAAGCATACTGGGGGAGTTCATCCAAATTATGAAGAAAGGAAACATAACAGGTATCAACCGTTCCACTTGTATTTGAGAAAAGAAATGTTCGAAACGTCCTCATAAAATCAGGATTGGCATTGAGTCTCTCCTCAAGAAAAGTAACTGTAGTAATCCTCTTCTTAGGATCTGTACATAAACGGCTTCCGAATTTGAAAAAGCCCGCAACCAATTTTTGGTTAACTCGATTTTTATATCAACGAAAAGCTTGTGATCCGAACTTTTGAAAATGCGATTCAATTTTCAAAATATGCTAGGATCACAAATTTTGGAAAGTTGGGCCAAATGGATTATCGTGTTGGAAAGTTATCATATTTTTTCCATCAAATATTTAATTACTATGATTTTGGTAGTATTGGAAAACTTATCACTTGAAATAAAACCCTAAACCCTAATAGAAATTTCACAAAATGAAAGCTTAACACAAAATGAAGGACATAATCCCCGTACTTGAATACCATACCACTTGGGGTTCAATGAGTTTTAAAGATCGGTTCTTAGGCTGCGCATGACAACTTGCCAAACAGTGTTTGATTCTGTTCTTTTGTTCCCAGAATCAGTTTGGGAACAGAAATGCGTTTGTTTAATTTTTTGATTCTGGGCACAATTTTGTCAAAAATTGTTCCCAGAATCAGTTTTGGAGCAGAATCAAGAATAAAAAAAAAGTAGCTTCTTGATTCTGGGAACAATTTTGAGAATCAATTTTTTTTTCTTCTTCCTTTTCTTGATTTTTAATTTAGCTTCTAATGTTCGGCCCGAGGACCGCCCTCGCCGGATCTAACGAGAATAAAATATTTTAATAAAATATATTATTAATAAAAAATATTTTACCGGCCATGGCCATAAAAAAGAAAAATATATATTTTTAATAAAAAAAATTTAATAAAAAAATTATTAATAAAAAAAATATTTTACCTGCCATGGCCGGTGATCAGGCCATGGCAAAAAAAGAAAAAATATATATTTTTAATAAAAATATTTTAATAAAAAATATTATTAATAAAAAAATTATTTTACCGGCCATGGCCAAAAAAAATAAAAATGTATATTTTTAATAAAAATATTTTAATAAAAAAATATTTTACAGGCCATGGCCGGCGATCAGGCCATGGCCAAAAAAAAGAAAAAAATATATTTTTAATAAAAATATTTTAATAAAAAAATATTTTACGAGCCATGGCGCGACCAGGCCTTGGCCAAAAAAAAAAAAATATTTTAATAAAAAATATTATTAATAAAAAAATACTTTATCGGCCATGGTCGATCGAGCCATGGCCCAAAAAATAAAAATATATATTTTTAATAAAATATTTTAATAAAAAAATTTATTAATAAAAAAAATATTTTACAGGCTATGGCCGACGATCAGGCCGTGGCCAAAAACAAAGAAAAAAATATATTTTTAATAAAAATATTTTAATAAAAAAAATATTTTACGAGCCATGGCCGGCGACCAGGCCATGGCCAAAAAAAATAAAAATATTATTAATAAAAAAATTATTTTACCGGCCATGGCCGGCAACCAGACCATGGCCAAAAAAATAAAAATATATTAATAAAAAATATTATTAATAAAAAAAATATTTTACCGGTCATGGCCGGCGACCAGGCCATGGCAAAAAAAAAGAAAAAAATACTTTTAATAAAAATATTATTAATAAAAAAATATTTTACCGGTCATGGCCGGCGAGCAGGCTATGGCCAAGAAGGAGGAAAAGAAAAAAAGAAAAGAAAAAAAAGAAAAAAATATTAAAATATTTAAAAATATTATTAATAAAAAGAATCTTTGTAGCGTTACCAAACGCATTTCTGTTCTTTTTCTATTCCAGGGATGGAATTTTGGGCCGTTAAACAAACTCCTTAAAATGCTCAGAATCAATTCCGGGCACAGAATCAAAAAGAATCATTTCTGATCAGAATCGTTGTCATGCGCAGCCTTAACATCCATGGTCTATCACAGGTACTTAAGGGAGAAAAATTTCGCACACGACATATATATATTTTGGCTTTTTTCCCTGCTATGCTCTTTTCCATTCATAGTGTCCTAATATGTCCTTTAGAGTTACCATTCTTCCAACTATCTTCTTCCCAATCTTTGTCCGATTTGTGAAATTGAGCCACGAAATGGTATTAAGATGAGATTAGCCCTATCAAGACGAGATTAGCCCTTGATTCATTTTTCTCAAGGGAGACACTTCTTCCTTTAGATCGACATTTTCTTCCTTCATATCAGCATTTTCTCGCTCCATATCAGCATTTCTCCATACCAGCATTTTTCTTCATCAATTCATTCATCTTCTTTTCTATTTTCGCACTCTTCTCTTCTAACATTCAATTTTTTTAAAACAAGTCATCCTGTAAATCAAAACAACCAAAAACTTGTATAAATTGAATATATTGACATATAAAAAAAGCAATTCAATTATCTTACTACGAAAAAGTTTCAGTCCATCAAACATCTGTCAATCTTATTTTCATCAGTCTATTTTTGCTCTGACATTGTCAATTTCATGAGCTTCTAAAAACGAGAAAACTCCAAATTCAATTAAAAGAACAAACGGACAAGAAAATTCAGTGGAAGAAACCCGAGAAATTAAATAACATGCAATAATACAAATATAAAAAATACTAGGGAATGGAACAGCTAAGCTCACATGATCCATTAGAAGATTCGCCGAAGAATCTTTTGTCCCGAATTACAAACTTGTCTCTTGGGACTCATCCTTTCGTGTTGGCAAGGGCAAAATTATTTCAGCTTCCAGCTCAACTGCAATAGGCTGAAGCTCCACGATTATCCAATACATAAAAGAAGTGGAGACTTAAGAAATGCCATTTAAAATACTAGTTTAGATGCCAGGTCGAAATACATGTAATCAATAAAGTCGGTAAGTTCAAACATTAAAAACAAACGAACATAAGAAAGAAGGTAAAAGAAAGAAAATGAAAAACAATAAACTATCGATTTGATCACTTGATCATTTCTTAGTTTCTCAAATTCTATCGTGAATCATATTCTATGACAGGACGCACAATTTTCTCATCGGCATACAAGAAACTTTTTGAAGATTAGGCCGATCCATGTTTTTTTTTTTTTCATTTTCTCAAATTCAATTTCTCTTACTACGAAAAAGCTTCGGTCCATCAAACAATTCTAACATGCGTATCAACCGTTCCACCCGTATTCGGGAAAAGAAATGTTTCAAACGTCCATAGTAGGAATGTCTTCATAAAATCAGGATGGGCTACATCACCAAGTGCAGTGAGTCTCTCCTCAAGAAAAGTAATTGTAGTAATCCTCTCCTTTAGTATCTGCACTATAAACGGTTTCCAAATTTGAAAATGGTTGTTCTTCCTCAAGTATGACCGGCTTTCCAATGACACAAAGCCAATGTCCAGGAGGGTCATGGAAATTTCGCGATCGGTAAACGCATGCTTCTCGCAGCTCCATCTCCCTATCAACTCAGTTAATAAGGTCTTATTAAGATTGTGATTTGGTATCAACAGTAGATTATCAAACCCCATTCTCCTTATTGCATCCCGTTGATTTTCCATTAATCTCTTCCCTCGCTTCACGAAGTACTGTGGCGAAAACTTAACAGCGGATATTCCCAAACTGCATGTTCCCAAAACGCCATTAAGACATATTTTGCCATTTACCCTTGAGTGAATGTAGAACATGATTTATAAATGTTAGTCAAAGCCCGGAACCTGCACTTACATGCACAAAATCACCCCACAAGTGGCTCTCCAAATAGATGTTATAGGTAGAACCCCTCCTTAACGCTCGACATTATTAAGCCCTAACAATCCATAACACCTAAAACATCGTAGAATAATGGTAGTTTAAATTCAAATGATTTTTCTACTATCATAAGATAAATTTCGAACAAATCCCAAAAGAAAAAGCTCGAATAACATTCAAATAAATCACAAACAACGCCCAAAATAAACCTTAAATAAACCCCTATAGCCTTTGATTAACCCCCAAATGTCTCTAAATAGCCTCTATAAATAAGCCATGATCAAATGACCCTTAATCTAACTAGCCCCAAAATAATCCCTAAATAGACATTGAATAAACCCAAATAACCCCTGAGCCCTACACCCAAAATATCCCTCGAATTACCCTAAACCCTAAACATTCATTGCATTACACGTGGGTAATCTGAGGGCTATTTTTGGTTAAATGGGAGTTTTGCAAAATGTGCATATTTAAAAAAAAACCAAAAGTAATCAGGATACGTGAGAAGATACCTATCCTAATCTTTTGACCATCCATTGGAATAATAGATGTGATCTAACACTAATACATTACCAAAATTGATAACGAATAGAATGGATATATTACTCATACTTACAGTGAATTGCGGAAACGGGTTAATTGTATGTTTTAATATTTACTTATGATTACACGCTCATCCTTTTAAAAAATACTGATGAGATAAATAAGTCGACATTTATTCTAATATTGCAATTTAAGTATATTAAATCGTGGCGTTGCTTTCAGGGAAGAAAAAAGAGAGAACAAGACGAATTTCTCGAGTACGGTCAATCCGTGAGTCAATTGTCATGGAAAATTCAAAATCTCTGGAAAAAAAAAATATTTCGACTTTGCAAGAAAAGAAAATACAGACCGAAAAACAAAAAAGAAGAAATCGAAGGGGGTGGTATCGACCATCGATCGAGTAGCAGCAGCTCCTCGGTCGGAAGAAGAAGAAGAAGGAGGAAGTTCCCTTCCCTTCCCTCCCCTCCCTCCCTCCCTCCTTCCTTCCTTCCTTCATTCCTGCGCTCGTCTCGTCTGCTTCATCGGAGCAGCAGTTGAGGCCGGCTCTGCGAGTGGTGACCGACCCTCTTCATCCCATCATCGGCGTCGTCGTCGTCTCCCTGAATTTCGTCAGTTCGCACTTCGCGGTTCTTTTCTTTGTGCGGAGTCTTGTGATCCAATGTCGAGCTCCGGTGCGATTCCAGGCCTTCCAGCTCTTGTTCGCGAACCCTAATACTCTCTCTCTGCGTGTCCTCCGCTCTCCGAACCTTAGGTAATTTCTCAACGTAATCCATCGATTCCTTGTTCTGTAGACTTCTGTTGTGCTCTTCTGCACCGAATGCGGGTTTTAAATCGTTATGTTTTGCACGATTCGATGCGCATGACTTAAAACCTTTCTTTGATCCATTCCCTGTTCTGCTGCCGAACGCCCACGGCGTTTGCTTTTTTGCATAGCATAGCAAGTAGCTTCTCCCCAATCTAGATTTTCTTCTGCTTCAAGTTGTGCTTTTGATTTGGGAGGAGAACGTATTTGGTAGACCCGCATCGAAAGTTTCTCTCTTGACGTTCTGTTGCTCCCTGTGACACTAAATTTTGTTGAAGTTTGGACCTTTTGCAGCCCGAATTTTTGTTGATATAGCAAGCACCACGAGAGGACAAGTAAAGTGGGTTGCTGATCATATGCTTTGACTTATGTTTTGTTATATCCTTAATTGAAAGATTTGTTATTGGGTTACTCATCATTCTCGGCGGTAACCCTTGCAACCCTGCTAAAAAGCAATGTGGGTTATTTTAATAGCTCCTTTCCGTTGGGAACTGGACTGATGCGGAATTGACGATGGGAAGCCACGTAGTCGAATTAATCTAGGGTGAAGCCTGACTCTGATATGATGTCGGAAATTCCGACCAAGAACTTAAGCCCTTAGGTGAAAGGAGACTATATCTATAGAAGCCAAATTGGAAACGTTATATACAAGGATGTGTGATATCTTCTCCCCCCTTTGTCACTTAAAAGAAATCTAAAGCCATTGGGTGGAGGACAATACATGTAAATAAGGCCTATTGAAACCTTATAGGCAGATGATGTGGAACACTTTGACAAGCGTTATACTAATACATTCCAATGTAGAAGTTTTTAGACGAGGAGAAAATCAAGTAAGAAATTATATGTGGAGAAGAGGTGGCTGAGTATGTTTGTAATTTTTGGCAATTAGTGGATTTTCTAGAGATACCAAGGCTATAGGGACTAGTCTCAAACCCAAGTTCATGTTTGAGTTGGGAAGTTGGTAGAGACGGAGAAGATTTATGTAGGATGATTACTAGTTGAGTGCAGTTCATACTGATCCTGGTGATGTAATGCATGTCCATGTGGTGTTTTCACACAATTTCCTAAAAGAAAATTCAGCAAAAACTATTTGATTGTTGCTACTCCTAGAATTTTATTGTTGACCTCATTTGTATTTTGAATTCCACACAGATCCTCTCAAGGAATTGAATGGACTATTTCCGTCCCTTGCATTAACGGTATGCTTTTCAATTATGCTAAATACTTAAATCAGGTTTTGCTTTAGTTAGCGTTCGTAATATCTCAATAGTCTGGGAGAAACCACCTTTTGCAAGTCCATGACATTTTTAGCCTGCCATGACTATTTAGCTTGCCATGCTTACGGTTGCCATGAGACTTGTATTATTCTCAACCATGCTATTGGTGCTTTCTTGTATCGTAGTGTAATGAAAATTTGTTTTTCCATCCTGTTGCATTTAGTTTTCTGTCCCTTGCCCAATGCCCATGTATAGGTGCCTTATCTAGAAGGTTTTTATCTTCTGTACTGTTAATGACCACGGAGAAGTAAGTTATACGATGCTTATATGAGTCTTTACATAAGAAACTGTGAGATAGAATGTGATTCTTGTGCACTGACTGGTAATTTTTTTGGGATAGCAGACGCACTTTATGTTTTGTCATATATATTGCTGCCATCTACCCTCTTGATAAGGGAATACTGATGAGGACGACACATTTTCTGTGGGTGACAACTATTCATTTCAGTCAGTATTTCATTGCACTCACTATAAGTAGCGCCAATACTTGAATTAGTCAACAAATCCAATGTGGATCAACCACAAAAAAAAAATGTGGGAGGTTGGTCATTAGAGGTAGAATTGGAGTAAGTAGGGACGGACAACAATGCTAAAATACAAATTCTAATTGGAGTAAGTAGGGAAGGATGAAAAGTACCGGGAGGACATGAAAGAAACCATGCGAAAACAGCTTTTGGCCACTGATAAGGCCATTGACTTGTAGAAAGATACTAATTTTGAAGAAAATGCTTTGTCATTTGTCGATGACAAGGTACACCCGTCGCCAGCTCAATGACCTTTCTCGTTTGAGTTTGCTTCTTGGTAAAAGTGAACTGAAGCGAATTGTTTCCTGAAACTTTATTTGCCGAATCTGTTTGATGCCCGAAATCAGTTGATTTATAGTTTAGGCTGAGAATGGCATCATAATCTTCAAGTGCATGGCATCACTGACTTTGTGATGTTTCCCCAATTCTCACAATTCTGGATCTAATTTTTACTGAGTACTCTTGCTGTAATTGATGTCATGTTACATGTCTTATCCAGCTAGTCTATGTAAACATGAATCGCCCAACCACGCGAAGTAAAAATAAAAAGCCCAAGCCATCCAACGATGTTGACAAGATTTCAGACACACTGAGGTAATTTGAACTCACTTTTACGTCTATGCAAGCCTCTTTACATTAATAATCAGTTGTCTTTGTCATATACTTTGCAGGAAAATTCATGCGTCTGGTGAAATAACCCAGGATGACATAAACCAGTTATACAACATTGAGAAGCCCATATGCCAGGGCTGCCGAGTAAATGCTAAAGATAACCCAAATTGCTTTTGTGGCCTGATTCCATCTCCCACTGGAAGCCGGAGATCTGGAATATGGCAAAAGATGTCAGATGTTATTCAATCTTTGGGTCTGGACCCCTTTAAGGAACTTCGTGCTTCACTCGACTCACCTGCTGGATTAACTAATTTGGGCGCAACATGCTATGCTAACAGTATTCTCCAATGTCTATACATGAATACAACTTTTCGAAAAGGAGTCTTGTCCATTGAAGTTGATGTACTGAGAAAACAGCCTGTGCTGGATCAGCTTGCCCGGCTCTTTGCTCAGCTTCATGCAAGTAAAAGAGCATTTGTGGATTCTGCTCCATTTATAAAGACGCTGGAGTTAGATAATGGCGTTCAACAAGATAGCCATGAATTTTTAACCTTACTCCTTTCTCTGCTTGAGCGATGCCTCAGCAATTCCCGAAGTGTCGTGGCTAGGACTATTGTTCAAGATCGCTTTCGTGGAAGTGTGTCCCATGTGACAACGTAAGTATCTTTCATTGTCTATTCTAGTAAAATAACCATGAGAGTGATGGCCTTCAGCAATGAGCAGATGATTAAAAATCAATTTTTGTAAGAATTGTGCAAAGCTAAAAGTGTAGATCAAGTTTATTTGTTATGCTTTGTTTAGAAGAAATAAGTGGGAGGTATAGAAAATCTAAGTGAAGAAATTTGAGGTGAAGTAGATGAAAGGATGATTTCCTTTGAAGTTGTTTGGAAGGGTGAGGATTGGGAGTAAAGAAAAGATGAAGATTTGAGACTTGACTTGTTTGGAAAGGGAAAGAAATTGAGAGGAAAGAAAATACTTATGTAGCAAATGACTATTTTCCACTAGAGTAGGAGAAGATATAACTGTAAAATAACACCGGATAAAAGAATCTTGGAAATAACCACGCTAATTACATGTGAGCAGAATAAGCTGTAGTGCTTGTTATTTACCGAATATCTTGAGTGATATGTTTAAAATGATTCCTGCTGACTAGATTGTAAAATGTCATACCGATAAGAATGAGAAAAAAAGGTGTATATTTGAGGCGAGTATGATGGCATTCTGAGAAATTGACGAGGTGGCCCGCCATTTCTCCATGTTTTATTTCTTGATTCGGTGTGAACCCTTTGGTGGGGCCCATGGATTTTTTCCCTCACCTCAAATCTTCGCCTTATTTTTCACTAGCCCCTCTAAACAAGGGAATTTAACTTTCTTGCCACTTCCTCATCCATTCCTCAACTTTCTGGACTTCTAAATGGAGGCTTAAAATTTTGGGATCATTTGAAAGTTAGCATGAATGTACCTATCTGAAAAAGAGGAAAGTTACCGTGAATGTATGCGATTGAAAGTGAAATTATTAAAAATTTTCGGGGTTTTTTATATTGCAGTTACTTCTTTTTTGCTTGGTCTAGTTACTTTTCTCTCAGGTGTTTGGTTTTCTTTGAAGTTGCTTTGATACAGTCGATACTTTGCATGTTAACAATCATTTTGTGAAGCTGTGTTCTGAACTCACCAGCATGTTTTGGTGAAGCCATCTTGTGACGTGGCCATATGGCCTTATGTTCCTTTTTGTAATGTTTATGTTTGTACTAAATTCAATCGGATAGGTTCTTAATTTTTCATTAAGGGGTTGCTGTGGTAGCAGTTACTTTTCACAAAATAATTGAAAGTCTCAGTGCTTTAAGTTACAAAAACCATGACAGTTGCCTTTGGACCGACTTTGTGCCTACAGCTGCTCAAGATGTGGGAAAGATTCAGAGGCCTCTTCAAAGATTGAAGACTTCTACGAGTTGGAACTGAATGTTTTGGGTTTGAAAAGTTTAGATGAAAGTTTAGATGATTATCTACGGGTGGAGGAGCTCAATGGGGAAAATCAGTACTTTTGTGAATCCTGTGAAACAAGAGTTGATGCTAGCCGAAGCATAAAGCTTCGGACACTTCCTCGCGTACTTAATATCCAGCTTAAGCGTTACGTTTTCCTTCCTAAGGTACTTAATAGCAATTACAACTATGTACATAGATATATTTTGTAGTTTTTTTTTATCTTAATTATGTCTCTAGAAAGTCAACTAGACTCCTGGAACTTGAGAGAAGATTTTATTACAAAAATCGCAGTGATGTGAGATGGTCTGTGTTGGAGACACCATTTAGTGAGAATGGCTTTGTCAGTTTGTTGATGTAGGGTCTATCAAAAGACTAAAGCTGGAACTGTTGAAAATATTTTCTTCCTATAACTTCTCACACTTGATGTTTCAACAATGGTAGAACCAATGATGTTGGATGACTCCAAGTGTTTGACCTTTCTCTTCGGTAAAGAATCCATTTTGCTTATGATTAAAATTGATAATAGTGTCTCTGTATTCCTTAGCTCTCTCTCTCTCTAGTGGTGTATTTTGTTTGTACTCTTGCATTTGCATTCACTTATTGTTGATATATTTCGATTCCATCATTGTAGACTACAACAAAGAAAAAGATCACTTCTGCATTTTCTTTTCCTCGGGAACTTGATATGCGGAAGAGATTATGTGACCCAGCTCAGGTTGATTTAATATATGACTTGTCAGCAATACTGATACACAAAGGAACTGCAGTAAACAGTGGGCATTACATTGCTCATATTAGAGATGAAAAGACAGGGCAGTGGTGGGAGTTTGATGACGAGCATGTCTCAAATTTAGGTGATCACCCATTTGGAGAAGATTCGTCAGGTCACAAGAGTAAACCTGCACAAAAGGAGCCACTTGTGCACTCTTCGCCAGTTTCTGTTGCTGGTGATGCTACAGATGACGTGCTGCCACAGTTTGCAGAAAATGGTGATTCAGAACATTCTGAGATATTTTCATCTGCTGATGCATACATGCTTATGTACAACCTGCGGCAAACCAATGCGCATCTTCAGAAGACGTCCATGGTTCTAAATGCCAATAATATTGAAACCGAACGCACCAACTGCACATCAAATGATGTCACTTCTCTTCCATCTTACCTTAGAGACGAGGTTGATGAATTGAATGCATCATATGTGGAAGCATGCCACCAGTATAAACTACAGAAGGAAACAACATTGCATCTTATTGAAGAAAGGAGGCAAGAGGTGCGCCTAATTCTTTCAGAAGCTCCTGTTCAGTCATTTGAGGAACCTTTTTATTGGATATCAGCAAATTGGCTCCGCCTGTGGGTTGACAATATTATGCCTCCGTAAGTACAGATGCTCTAGCTGCACCACCATAGCCATGTGCTTCTCCCTTTCAGTCTGACATGCATCCTTCTTAAATACTGACTTGCTACTTCACCCCAGTATCCATACATTAGGCTCATGGAGTCCATGTTCTCCTTGTTACCTGAAGCACCAACATCCTTGCTCTTTTCGTCACTATGACTGGTTTCATATGATCTTAGGACTCTTTCTCAAGCATGGCTAGTTCTTCAACTTGAACATCTAGGACAACTTTATCTTTTCACACTTGCCTGTCCCGACAAGTTGCTCTACATGTCGATTATCATCGTCTTCATTGACCCCTTTGTTAACATTGCTTGCTGAATTTTGCTCATTTTTTGCCCTTTTAAAAGCATTAGTGCATTCAAGTTGGGAGATTCAGTTTCAAATGAACTCATTTGACTGTGAATTCCTTTGATCTGCTGTCAGATCATAAAGAGGACTGTCTTGTTGGTAATTACTCTTGCACGAAAAAGGCCTAATGGAATTTGTTGTCATGATTTGGAGTAGAATTCTACCAGTAGTAGGACTCTCATTGGAATCATGGACTGATGAAACAGTCAGTCCTCACCAAAACCTTGTAATCATGTCAATTTTTTGACAATGATCAACTCGTTTGATCAGATGAGCCACATCAAAAGATCATTGACATTGAAGAATGAACTTGATGAAAAAAGTGGTTTTAAACAAACCAAACATGAGTCATTCCTCCTTCATGAAGATAACTTGTGATTAGGTACCTTCAAAAGCTCTATATCGCTATATCAAGGCCCAATCCAAAAATTCAAAGAGGAAAGCAGGAGACTATAGTTGGTTTTAGTTACTATTTATATGTTATTTATCATTATCTGTGGCATTTTGGGAGGATTACCATTATGTGTATTTTCCTGGCTTTACTGTGATGTCTGGCAGTATTCTGGATAACACTCTCATTCAATGCTCTCATGGAAAAGTTCACATGGCAGAAGTAGGCTCCATGAAGCGATTGTCTGCCAGTGCTTGGGTGAAATTGTTCTCAAAGGTACTCATTTGTTTTATATGAGGTTACCTTTCACCTAACTGCTATAATCTTACTATGAATTAGTGTTGGGTGGTCAGTTTTTTTCCTGTTGTACATTCCTGATGTACTTGAACAGTTTCCTCTGTCAATCAAATTCTTTCACCTTCTCAAAGGAAAAGGGGCGATCTTCTCTTTTAATTTGGGCACATGGTTGATAGACATTAAGATGCTTCCCCACCCCACCCCCGCCGCAAAAAAAAAGAAAAAAAAAAGATTAAGTCCTAAGTTTCAGATATGAGAATCTATCATTCATGGGTAGCCCTACACGAACAATTACTAGCTTCAATGGACTCATTAACCATATTCTCTGGTTAGGGGCACAGGATAAGGGTTCCTACTCATTATACCTGGTTGCCATGTTAATATATCTCCACCTGTTAATGTGGTTGGGAATGTTAAATTACACTAAGTAGCTGCTGATTCTTCTATATTTTCTTTAGGGCTCACCAATTGGAGCAAATAGTGAAATGTCTAAGTAAGTGCCTATAAACTGTCAAAATTTACAGTGAGATAATAACCAGAAGCATTAATGTGATTATTGCTTAAGTGCTAAAGCTACAGGAAGAATTCATACGTCAAACTGACTTATGCTTGCACTACTGTGGATCTTGGTGTGCTTTCTTTTTTTTTTTTTCCCTTTTCCAAGCTATACTCAAACTTATAGATGAAGCTTTTTTGAAGTGTACAATAAATTATATTTTTCTTTGTTGATTCCTTCATGCTTCCACTATTTTAAGTCAAGGCAAGATTCAGTCTTTAGCACTTCTGTTGCCATTGATCCGTCATCTGAGGCTTTCAGTTATCTTTTCGTTTTAAACTTGAGCTCTTGCTCACATTTCTTTTCAATGCGCTGTACTGTTAATATTAACTGCTTTCTATTGTTATTTTATTCTCAGTATGGTGGGGGGCCGGCACTGGCCAATGATGACTCCTGCATGGACTGCCTAAAAGAGGCGGCACACAGACTGGTTTGTGCTGACAGCTATAGGGATCGGAGAAAATCGGTGAAGGAACTTGCAGATTCTGTGCTTTCCGGAAATTGTAGCGATGGAACGTACTATGTATCAAAGGCCTGGTATGGGGTTGCAATTTTCCGTTTTATCTTCCCTATTTATCTTTCAAATGCATTGTGAATCAATTCTCTTTCATTGGCAGGAGCTGTCTTTCATGTTTCTTATTCATAATCGGTGTTTTTTTTTATGAAGTATATTAAAGAGCACCAGGAGGTGCCTACCGTTCACAACCTCAAAGCTAGAAAAGATGCAAAACAAATTAAAAAAGACACGGATGTCTAAAGAGCTTCTACCACAATGCCTAAAAAGTAAGATGGAAAGCCAAATATCCTCTAGGGCACCTATAGAACTTCCCCCATTTGAAAAAGCCCACCTTTTTCTTTCCTCTCAGATACCCTGAGAACTGGAAATGGAGATTAAAGAAAAAAAGCTTTTCCTTATCTTAACAACAATTCAACCCAGACCGAGTAAAGAGTTCCTGTTCAACAGAGACCCTGCCACAACACAACTCAACTAATGTGCAAGAGTGACAAAGCCATATTCCAAAGTCCTTGAGCCTCCAGGAAATTAAGGAGCAGATGAGAAACAGATCTTATACTCTGCTTACAAAGAAAACGCCTACTGGCTAATACCCGACCTTTTCTCTTCAAAAGTAATTTGGATCTAACCTTTTCTCTTCAAAAGTAGTTTGTATCTAGATTATTGTAGTTCAAGTAAAATCTTTACCGTTCCCAATATTTCTACTTAATGTCCTATTTAACTTGTGGTGCATAAATGATAATGACATTGAAGATCTCATTTCCTGCCACGATTTTGATTCCAATGGTTTTATCAACATCCTTCTAACATCCACGATATCCTCTGTCATAGGCTTACTCCACAGCGATTCCAACTCCATTTCTTAGTCTATAGAATACCACAGCTGAAAAACGGAGTTCTCAAGATCCTTTGTGTCAGAGCCAACCCACTTGTTTTTTTCGAGGCTTATAGTACTAATCTCTCTACTAACCATTAGCCAACCACTTCTGTCCTTTTACTTGTCAAAGTCCCAATGTTCCAAGTCCCCAACTGAATCATACTCTCATGGACTAACTTCTTTACGATGTCTCTTCCAAAAAGGTAAGGAAACCCTTGCTCATTTGACACTGCACCAAGCGCCTGTGCAATGGCCATTGCTCACTTCAAACTGTACTTAGGACACGACATGGCACTTCTGGGCGACGACCTAGCTTTAACGCAATTTCTCGTAGGGTCCATTATTGGACATTTGACGATAGAATAAAGGAGCGTCGCTTGTGGACTACCTATGGCTTGGGACCTGATAAATCCTACCTAGGTGCAGTTATTGAGTATCTTAGAATCCTTGAAGTAATTCATAAGATCATCATAATCAAATGCGAAGATGAGTAGTATTTCATTGAACCCATAATGCATTGGAGCTATTGTTTTCCTGTGTCAAACTTAAAGGAACTGGCAATTTTTAATTTTTCAAGAAGGCATTTCCTGGTTCTCTTATCAGCTATACAGAGTTGTTGCCAAATTGAGATGGTGAGGCGTAGTTCTCTTTGTAGTTCCAGTACAATGGCTATGCAGAAATCAGCGGTTCCTTCCTTGATGTGTTTAGGTATACGAAAATATCGTTAATGGTATCCACTACCACTTCAATTGTGAGTAGAGAACTTAATTAGTTTAAGAACTTGATATTCATTCCTTCCATACCATTTAGTAGCAGCCTGGCACTCCTAGTATGCACTCTCTCTCTCTCTCTCTCTCTCTCTCTGTGTGGCAAAGTTATGTGAGCCTTTGTTCTTGTGTACTAATGTTGGCTCAGATTTTTTATGCTATTTAAGCCTAGAAACGAACCAAAGATTCACCAGAATATCAGAGAGGATCTTCTGCTCGATGTAATGTAACATCCATCTGGCATGCTCCGCAGGTTACAACAGTGGGTGAAAAGAAAAATCACAGATGCACCAAGTGAAGCTGATGCAGGGCCTACAGCTTCAATCAGATGTCCTCATGGGCAACTTATGCCTGAGCAGGCTGCCGGTGCTAGGCGTTTGCTGGTTCCTGAGAATCTTTGGCTATTCTTTTACGAAGATGCAGTAACTGTGAATCCTGATGATCCTTTAGGTTGTCCTAGCTTCCCCATTAGCTCGGAGCAGTGCTCTCAGTGCAGTGAGAAAATTTCAGAAGTGGCATGCCTAGAAGATACTCTAAGGTCATCTATACATCCGTCATTGCAGTTAATTGCATTTGTGAATCCAGATATTGTTCATGGGCGTACGTGCTACTGCTTGTATCTTCACTTTGTGTGCATCTGTCTGTTTGGAAGATATGAGCTGATTACTTGCATGTTTGTTGATTTTTTTAATCATGGGTTGTAGAGCGGTGAAGAACAAGCAGCGTGAAAATCACGAGAAGCTAGCTGCTGGTAAAAGCTTTCCACTTCTTCCCTATCATGAGTATAACTTGTTGCCCTCGGTATGGCTCACAACATGGAGAAATTATGTGAATGCTAGTGGCAAGAACACTTTGTCGTGCGATGAACCTGAATCTTTGGATTCCGTGATTGATAAGCTGACATGTGAGAAGGTAACTTGCGGCCATATCTTGCAATCTCTGGTATCTTGAAGCTTTTTTGACCTGTCCAGAAGGTTCTTCAATGCATATCCCCCCCTCCCCCTTTTTCGCCCAACCCACCTACAACATGCACAAACAAATCATTTACCTGGGTAGGCAATGTACTGTCTCTTGGCAACATCTTCATCTCCTTTCTTTAAATTCTATGTGTTGGTTTTGTTCTCTAGATATCTGTATCTCAGTTTTAGCTCCTGCGGTCCACTTTTTGTACATTTCTTTGTCTTCGAAGATCATTTATGTTTGTCTTTGCATCTTAGGAACGAGTAAAGATGTTTTAATTGTCTATTAGAGCTTTGAAGAAGATGAAGAATGGAAAAGCAGTGGGCCTTTATAGCATACCAATAGAAGTGTGGAAGGTTATGGGAGAGATTGGGTATCTGGGCTTGCAACCCTTCTCAATAAAATTTTAATCTCAAACGAAAAGCCGGATGAATGAAGAAAAAGCACCCTATGCCTATATACAAGAACAAAGGTGACACTCAGAATTGTACCGACCACAGTGGGATTAAGGTAATGAGGCATACCATGAAGCTATGGGAAAGAGTTATGAAGGAGAGGTTGAGGCAAGAGATTCATATCTCAGATAACCAATTTGTTTTCATGCCAGGTAGATCCACTATGGAGGCTATTTACCTATTACAAAGACTGATGGAAAGGTATAAGGATAAACCAAACGATCTGTATTAGGTGTTCATAGATTTGGAGAAAGCATATGATAGAGTGCCAAGGGAAATTCTTTGGAGGGTTCTAAAGAAAGGGGCACCCATTGCCTATATACAAGCGACTAAGGATATGTAGGATGGAGCCGTCAATTCATTAGGACAAATAGAGGTGAAACAAAAAAATTCTTCATGAATATAGGGTTACACCAAGACTCTGCTCTAGGTCCTTATTTTTTGCCTTTATTATGGATGAGCTAACAAGAGATATCCAAGATGGTGTTCCTTGGTGTATGCCTTTTGCAGATGACATATCGCCGGTAGATGATATAAAGTTGTGGTTGACCAGAAACTCGAATTTGGAGGGTAACTTTAATCGACTGAGCCAGACTAAGACAGATATATATGGTGTGTAATTTTAATAAGGGCAGAAGTTGAAATGACCCCTTGGTGAAAAGTGGACATAAGGAAGTGCCAAGGAGTGAACAATTCCAGTTATTTGGATCCATTCTACAAAAAGATGGAGAAATAGATGGAGATCTCACCCATAGAGTACAGGTATATGGACGAAATGCAGAAGTGCATTTGGGATTTTTTCCGACTGATAAAGAATGATGTTATGTAGGGAAAAAGTAGGTGTTGCCCCAATTGAGGATAAGATGAGAGAAGGCCTCCTAGATGGTTTGGCCATGTTGAACGAAGGCCTTCAGATGCTCCGGTGAAGAGATTTGGACAAGGATTAGATTCATTGGAGACAATGGGTAGGGGATGGCCTAGAAGGACATGTAAGGAGAAGATAAGGAAAGATATGGAACATCTAGAACTTGCAGAGAATCTAATAAAGGAATAAGCTGGTGTAATAGGATTCACATACCCGATCCCACTTAATGGGATAAGGCTTGGTTCATCTTCTTACTGGTTTTAGTCTATGTTTTTCACTGGCTTTAAATTCTAATTTACCTAATCCCCTGAGTTGGACTGTCTGTTCCAATTTTTGCAACCAAAAGAATTATTGTAACATTCACAAAATTTAGTACTTTAATTTGCTTTGCCCTGAACAAATTATTTTCCAGCTGACAAGTCATTTTTGCAAAGTTGAGTGCTCGTAAGCCGTGATTTGACTTGAAGAAGATGCTACTTTTCTAAGGTGTTAGTTCATGTGATTTTTAGATTAATACATTTTTGTTTGAGTGGCACAATTATGGAACCAAAGTGACTATACTGGAACCGACACTGATGCAGATGCCGCTTTGAAACGTTTAATTAATCTGATCATGGACGCATGTTTATATGGTTGCTAGTAAATAACTATCCTGGACCTGGTGCTGTTGTATCTACCCGGTCGTGGGACTTTGTGATAAGTTAGCTTCCAGTTTATTTTGGAAATGATGATTCATTTTTATGATCCTACCAGTGATGATATGAATTGATTTATGGCATCTATTAATGACACTGTTTTAGCTTGCATCCCTTGCATGTTTTGATACTTTTTTTGAACTCCATATTCAACCATTTTTGACTCAGGGATGTGCTTGTGCTTCTTAGCAGCATTTACGACTTCTGGAAAGGCCTCTTGACCTGGTACACAAGCGTGGAGCAATTTTTCAGAAAGTTTCTCTTGTAAGTATATGAAACTATTCATGAAATATTTATTTCCTCACAAAAAAGGAAGAAAAAACTACAACCCTTATACATTCAGAATCTCATGCACTTGATATAACAGACAGCAGGTATATTCTTTAGGTATTGGTAAGTATCGATGCTCTGATTTTTTTAAACAAAAGTTGAATCGTGCGTATTGGGAGCTCTTAGATGCACATGAAAGCAGTAAACAAAGAAGTGGAATCTATAATAAGTTCAGATAATGGCAACAAAACTGCATCATAAGTTGTTCCCTGATCCCTAGATTTTGTTTTTTTAAAATTGTTATAGCGGGGAGCTGTATAGTCAATTCTGGACGGGGTGTCTGTGTTTTGGTGGTGATTGTTGGAACATCATGGTGATGAAAGATGATGGGACTCTGAAGAAGAGGAACTCAATGGTAACTAAGAATAAAAATTATAATTTTTTGTAGAGAGCTTTTGTTTTGGGTACTGCCTTTGATCATACCACTTTGTAGACTGTGGTATGTTTTCTTCATGGTGCTGAAATGGAAAGGCTAGGCAGGGAGGGCTCAGTTTTGTCTCATGAATATGCATATCTTTTCTTTAAAGGGAAAGATGATATCCAGACCCTGCTTTTTGGTTTAACCACAATTCAGCTAGCTTATGTGCATCTAGCAGCTGTCTTAGGTGCATGTTACTCGTTTCTTGCTTTTTGACTGAAATTCAGTCCAGAAATCCAACAGATTATTTACAACTGCTTAATGAAACTTCTGGATTCAATCTGCACTGAAAATTCACATTACTAGGTTCCTAATCAAAGACTTGCTGGGGAAAGTGAAGACGTTGTAAGGAGATGGATTCGTGCAATGTCGCTTAAATTTCAAGATTTACGCAAATTTTCTTTTCTTGGAATTTTGAATCTAGTAATTGTTTCCAGGAGGACAATTTGTACAATTTCACTAAAGATGTGTGTTTGCAGAAAATAAAGATCCACGTGATTCCTTTGTCTATCGTTTGGCTTTTATTAAAGAGCAGAATAGAAGATTTCAAAAGGGAAAAAGAAACCTCTCTCTCACATCTTTCTAGTTGGTTTTGTATCATTCATCTTACTCTGAATGATTTTGTTGATCTTGTTGATTCTCTTCATTGTGATCAGTGTATCTATATGCGCTTGGAAATCCCTTTTCATTCTAAAGCACTAGGAAAGCTGCATTTGTTGTCTGGCTGTTTTCTGTATACACTTTGGCATAATTTGTTCTCCTCCTTCCCTCTGTTCCTTTGTATTCTAGACAGATGGATTGACAATCATTACATCAAGTGACTGGAAATGTTTCTGTGAAGAATGGGGATGCTCTGAGAACAAAGGCATATCTGCTATCATTGAGCATGATAATGATGCCCAAGATAAGGGTATGTGTGGTAAAGAGACATCGATATGTAATGAGCAGCTGGGTTCTATTGATGGGTCAAATAATCGACTTGATGAGAGAAGGCTAGTGATCAGGACATCTCCAGAGGTACTTTCTAGTCCACCATTGTTCCATTTCTTGTTCTTTTTCTTAGTGGATATATTCCTCGATATTTCCTCATTCTGTATCTGATTGTTAGACCTCAGGAGTGTTTAATTGCTTCAAACTAATGGTCTTATTTGTGGATTGTGCACCTTGTGATAGAACCTGTGGTTTCGAAGTATTGGGCTCACTCATCATTCCTTTATGAAAGGACTGTTTGCATTATTATTCTGTGCTTGACTGCTTTCCTCAAAATCTATTGTGAATATCTTTAGGCTAAATAGCCAATTGGGCTGATCTGACAAGTACAATGACGCTGGTCAAACTCTCCTAAGTGGTCCTCTTTTAAGGATGATTGTTCACAAGTAAATATTCCCTGTCGAAGGGAATAATTAAAAGCAAACAAGAACAAACTCTTCTCCATCAGTTGGGATCGGCAAAATTGATCTGTTTATAGCTTTATGAAATCCAGCATCTTGTCTCATGGGAAAATGTGTGTATTGTCAGGTTGGCAGAATGAAGGTTCTTCAAGTCTATCTGATCTCTTATATTGGCAGTAGATGGATGTGATTCTGAGGTCTGGCATGATATTGAATGAATCAAGTATTATTTTAGTCCATAGTTCTCAAATTCCTGGGAAAAATGAGAAACATTGCAGAGGTAGCAATGGAACCAGCCCTTAGAGTTGTATAGGCAGGAATGACGACGACTTTCATCTGGTTAGTTTCAGAATGGGCTACGATGGTCAATCGTCTTTTGGAAGGACTAATGATGCCGATAAATATTACTTTTTTGAAAGCTTACTTGACTTGATGAAGGCTTTGTTTAATTTTCCATTGTTCTAAGACTATCCCTCCCATATAGGTTTGGATTTGGCCAAACTCATTTGTGAATATTTATAAACGGGGAGGTGAAAAATGAAGAGACAAAGAGATTAAAACATGGCACCTCCTGCTTTAATACCATATAGGATTAATGGACTATTTCCAACTTATTCAGAAGCTTTAAGCTGTTAAATGATGGCATGCTTTAATATTTAAATACTTTCACAACATGAGATTGAAAAGAAATTAAACTGTGCTTATCTAGTGTGCTTTGGTGTTTCCCACTGGTTTTTTGGACAGGTCCAATTATTTGACTAGCATTCTCATTGGATATCCTTCTTAGAAATCTCTCCATCTCTCTCTCTCTCTGCGACACACGCACACACACACGTATGACGTTGAATAAGTGGAGAGTAATCTTAGTGAAGCATTGTGATGATAATTATGAGGACTGGCTGACCATGCATTGTATCTGAACTTTCTACGATGGTGCCAAATGTGAACTATGTTCTTGCGGTGCCTATTTTTAGCCTTTTTTCCCCTCATTACATGGTTGCTTCCTTTTGGTCCTTCTGCAGTCCAAATATTTGTATTTTTTGGGTGAATGGTTTTTTGAGATTGAAATCCGTTGCTCGTTATTCATTTGCGATGAAACTGCAGAAGGAAATCTCATCTTGGTCATGTCTCTTGTTTAAGGAATCTATTTATGTCCTAGGTCTGTGAGGAATGCGTTGGAGAAAGAGCAAGCTCCGAATTGATGCGGAGATTGAACTATTGCAACGAAGACATATATGTCACGTTTGTACATGGAAAGGAAGTTCCAAAATCTGTCTTAGAAGCATCTGAGACTGCGTTTGATCCAGGCCGCCGGATATCTAAACGCTCTAGAAGGACAAATTATGGAAGTGCGGTTAATCTGAAAGTTTCTGGCTCTACATCAATATACCAGTTAAAGATGATGATATGGGAATCTCTTGGGGTAGGCTCTGTCAAAATAATGATTGATTAGGATACTTGCAATTGATATTTCATCCTTTTATGCTTGCATCTCTGAGGGTGCCTCCATTTATTGCTCTTATGTATCTTATGTACTCGACCCATGCGTAGCGACATGTGCCATCAACATCTAGGATTATTGAGGCACTTTTTTTCTTGGTAAGAGTTTGATGTTGTGAGTTTAAGACACTTAATTCGTGGAAAGGCTGGCTGACAAAATGGATTTTGGTCTACTGTAAAAATCAACTTGCTAGTGGCTTTGTTTTGATAGTTGTGGAGAAATAATGTTAGTATACTTAGTTTTAGCAGCTGTTTTTATGTGATGAAGTCAAAAATGTCTTTGCATCATTCGATTTTTCTTCTTTTTTTGCATTAAAACAGAAAAGCCCTAGATAACCACTCACAGTTACATTTTTGTAGTTCTCCCTAATCAATGCAAGGATAACATGTGCAGGTTGTGAAAGAAAACCAGATAATTCACAAAGGGCACACAAAAATAGAGGGGGAATTTTCTACTCTTGCAGATTTTAACATATTTCCTGGTGATACACTTTGGGTGAGGGATTCAAAGATCCATGAGCATCGAGATATTGCTGGTAATTACCTTTCTGAGTCTTATAATTGAAGAAATCTATGATGGAGATAGGATTCTCCAAAGCTTTTGTGATTGCCTTTCTGATGGGAGAACAGTACCACATGAATTGTTGGACTTCTTCTTTCTTTGATTTTGTTTCCATTTTCCTTTAAAATTAGTCTTAAAAGTTAGACTGGATGACTGGATCAAGAAATTCTGGATTTTCCATCGTGAAATAATGTTTTGGCTTGTTTTTTCCTTTTTTAGGGCTAAGTTCTGGCTGCTGTTTTTATGCCATAGAAAACTTACGTCATTATAGGATTGAACCTTGGTAGGCCCTCCATCAAGTTTGAGGTCCCGTACAATTACCAAGGCATTGGGGCACAGCAGACTTTTGTCAGACTTAGTGTCAAAAAACTCCTTTCTGTAGGACTGGACTATTTCCTGACGTAGATTTAGGGAGAAGTTTCTTTATATAGATTACTTAAAGAAACTAAAAAGTAAGGGGTCTTTCGGTAATAGGACTGACTGAAAGGGTAATAACAGACTTTTGGACTTGCAATAGGAGTACTAGTGGTCAAATTTAGCAATTTAATTGAGGATTTCTTTGTAGCCATACAAGCACATAGTGCCAATTTTATGCTTGACCTTTTCTTCTTCTCCACAGATCTTAAAGATGTACAATCCTCTGTATGCACATGCGAGCATGCACAATCCCAACCCAATACCTCTCCTTATGCATGTGAACATATTTGTGTCCCCTGGTTGTCATTTGGGTATTCGTATTCTCCAACGAGTTCTTTTGATCTTGAATTGCAAATTCTGATAAAACAAGTATGGGTTGGGAGGCATTGCTTTGTGCCTCATAGAGAGATATTATAGAATCTCTCACTTGAGATTGAATACTCCATTGTACGAATTTTATTCTAAAGATTGCCAGCATGACGTTTAAAGAGTGAGGAATTGCTGCAAGAAACTTGAAAAATCATAATCATGTAATAACAATAATGGCATTTGCACATTACTTATAGCAAGCCAGTGATTTTTCATCCCCCAATATCACGTCGTGTTTATTTTTTCCTTTATGCCAAAAATTGATTTGTCAATAAAATTATCTTGAATATGTGCTTTGTGCTTTAATTCTCAAATTACATTGAATTAGGGAAACTTACTACATTAATCCCCAACTTTGCCCTTGGTTTCAAGACATACACTTTGTATTATCTAGTTTCAATATCTATTCCTTGTGCCCTAAATTTGAAAAACATTTACACCCTCTAATTTCTTTAATTTGCTAATATTTTCCTAATTGTCACTCCAAGGTGTAAAGCATAGGTTTTTCAAAGTCTTATGGTACAAAGTGTGGGCAATAGAAACTAGAGGATATAAAGCGTCAACCAGGGATTAGTCTACTGGATTTCTCCATATGGGGGTTATCCAATAGCGCTTGCATGGATGACTTTTTTCTTTGCATTTCGTTTGGAAATCACTGGTTCATTTTTGTGAGGTGAAGACTTATTTTTCTATGCAGTAGTTTTTAAGTTTTGAGATTCGGAGGCTTATTCTTTAGTGACTCATATGTGTTATTTTCGTAACAGATGAAATATCCATTCAAAAAATGGATGTGGAACATGCTGAGGAAGGTTTTCGTGGAACACTTTTGACGACTGATTTCCCTTCATAAGTTTGGAGAAGTTGGCTCTTGTTAAATCTTTTGAAACTCTGGTTGTCCGACATGCTTTTAGGTAAAAGCAAATGTTTATCACAAGGTCTTCTCCTTGTAAACTTTAGTCTCATTGGTAAATTTACAACGCAACCTTTGTATATGGGTTTTTTGTGTGGCTGCTGCATAGAGTTCATGACATCGGTTTTATGTTTTACACTAGATGTAGACAAAGTGATATTCTAGTTAGCAATTTGAAGCCAGTGAAAGATGTGAGGCTTTTTTGTGGCTGCAAGACTTTATCATTCTAAGATCTTACTTCTCCTATCAACTTTAGTCAATAGCTGGACTTAAATCAAAGCTATTTGTACTTTTGAATTTGAGGAAAAGATATCTGAATTGAACAGTTTTTAGATTACGCAGCTAGTCTGTTGAGATTCGTTTTGTTTTGGGGAAGATTCAATTGTAATATGAATATTCTTTTTTGGATGCTTTCGACATGTTTTTAACCTCTGGCCAAAACAAAATGTTGTCCCTCTACCGATGTCATTTACGCTCTAGGTGTGTGTATTGTTAACATGAGGAGTGATCTGTACTTTGTTTTTGTCTTCTTTTTTTTTTGTATTTTGTTAACAAGTACTACCACAACATATATCTTTACCAAAAAAATACTACCACAACATATATTAAATCCTTTAAGGAAAATTTCATTCTCAATGCACTGTTTGTCTCGAATTATGTGTTATCGGAGTCATTGAAAATGAAAACATTTCTTACTGGGTATGGCTAATAAGTATTTGGAGGTGTTCGTTAACAATAACTCTTTTCTTTCCCGAATGCTTTCCATTCTAAAGCATGTTTGGTTTGTCTACCGAAGTCGTTTGCTGCTCAGCCCGCCCATGTTTAGCGGTTTTTTGAATGCCTTGAACTAACACGACAAGAAGCTTGAATTGTGTAATTACAAGTACCCTTGAGGGAACATTCTGAGTTCTAAAAGTGGCTCTGCATATGGTTCTTTGTAAAAATAAACTATTCCACGTATGGCGTATCAAATTATAGTATAAAGATTTGTAAGTTCTGTGATTTTAATGCGTAAGTTGTTAGGAGTCTGCACTACGACATGTTAAAAGCAAAAATCCCCAAAAAGGCTTCTAATTTGTTAAGTACCATATTGTTCCTGACTCAAGCATTGGAATATTATTCGCAATCCAATTACCGGTGGTACTTTGATTTTGCTTATAGCGTTGGGGTGTCTACAAATGCTCTTAAAAGATAATTCATTTACCAGTACGGAGCTTGCCAGCTTCTTGAACGTATCAATAGATCATTTACATCACAACTTTAAAGGAAGAATGCATTTCATGCGACATTCATATCTCATAAGGGCGTGAACCTCACCCCTAGCTTAGGCGAGAGTCGATGGTCCGGCAACCCGTCCCTAGCATAGACGAGCCAACCGTGAGTTTGCCATGCTCGTCAAGCACGGTGGCAAGGGCACGACCCGAGAGAGAGAGAGAGATTCCATATTTTAAAAAAAATTTGGTACTTTTTTATTCCATGTCACACTTTTCAAATCTTGTTCGTGCATATTTCATTCTAAAAGTGAACACAAAACTTAGGAGATCAAGAACCCATAGGCCGCAAAATGATTTAGGGATTTAATAAGATATTTTGTAGAAGTTCATCAATGACTTTATATCATTCGATTACAAATGTTTCATCGGAGTTCCCAATTACTTCTTCTTTCCCGTAATTTTAGTTCTCTAACCTAGCTTATATTATTAAATTAAATAATTGCGCCTTTATTGCGTACTTTAGGCCAAATATTTGGGGATTGCAAGTATTGATTTTTGTAGAATATGAACGAAGTGTCCTTCTCTTATCAATTATAGAAGAACATAGATAATCTTGCGGAGAACAAACAATATTTGACCCACTTCACAAATTACCTATCATACATGAGATTAAGTATCTAAACTAGTGTACGAATATCGATAATCTCCATCCGAACATGTGAATTATTGTGGGAAGAAATCCCCATATATTAAGCGTCCTAAAATAATCCTATTCTTATTATGGATTGTTTATATTTACCTCAATTCTTGGACCTTGCACAATTACATTCGCATTGAATGGTGAAAAGGTCAAGAGACATTTCATTTAGTCAACCACCAAATTTCTTCCAAATTTATACTTTTCTCTTCATGCAAAAACCCATTCAACTAGGTGTTGCATGTAACATAAAGTAATTAGTGGTGGCCATCTCGTCTTTGATACTCCCTCGTCTCTGCTTTGCCCTCGCCCTGACCCTGACCAGTAGAAGTTGCCGTCACTTCTTCGGTGAAGCGGCGACCAAGTGAACTCCTCCGCTGTCTCTCCTCACCCAATTCAAGCAAGTGGCTATGGATATTCCCTCGCCGATGATGAGTTTGCTTCAAGCTTCGACGGTCACTAGCCAACTCTTCTCCAGCGGTCCCTTTCCCTTGATCAAGAAAAGCTTCCGAGCGATGTTTTTTTGGCAAAGCCCAGAATCAAGGTCGGTCTCATCGAGTTTCAATGGCTTTCTGGTTCTCTTCGACATGGTGAGATCGTAAGGATGTCCGCCCAGATCAATTTCGCTTCCCATTTGCGAAGCCACCGGAACTTTATTCTTTGTCTAATTGCTCTATGAAGGAAGGAAGGAAGGGGTGCCTCATATAGATATAGTTTCCTTAGAGACTGCAGTCTTTAGCTTGTTAAAGAATCAAAAAAGGGGTCGTTTGATTGACTCGTGAGTGGTGGGCGGTCCTCTTTGCGGAACCTCCATCCCTCTCCGTAGTGAAATTCTTCCCTTCACTCCTTCTAACATGTTTCACCTGGGAAAAGAAAAGACTGGATTAATGTCGTACAACTTGACTTTGTTCCTCGTCCTAGAAGTATACTCCCGTTCGTACGAGACAACACACACCGTTATTCATTAGTTTCTTCTCATGAATATCCGCTTGTGCAGTGTGTCAGGGCAATAGCTAATGTTGTACACGAGTTATTTAAACTAATTTACTTGCTCGTGCTACGACTGGAATTATAGCAAGTGCAATATTTCAACCGAATTTTGTTGGGATAAAATTGATCTACATGAAAACAATCTCTTAGCAAGACTTAAAAAGGAAAAAAAATGAATTGAGTTGAGAATTCGTATCACTAATTTTCTGTCCTCCAAATGTTCTAAGAAACCCTTGGCTTCAATATTTTTGACGAGCGACAAAACACGATCTGTAGACATAACAACGGAACAACATTGAACCACCTCTCGCTCTCTCAGGCACACGGCACATATACTTTTGTCCGTCATTGATGTTGCGCTGACGGGTTAGCATTATACAAGAAAACCGATGGTCCGAATACCTCATATGAGAGTCATTTCAAAAGTCAACACATTGCCGGGAAAAGTTAAAAATTCACTGATCCGACCCAAAGGAAAGCAACCCCAAATCATTAAGAATTGAGAAAACAGAGTGAATACTATTATGATTTGCGTCTGGACACAATGACTCTGACGACAAACTCACCTTGTTCAGACTTCAAGCTCCCGCGATCAAATCGACAATTATGCGCATCGGGTCACGACAAACAAATTTTTGGGGTCTCAAAGCACAATTTTGTTAATGTCACAAGATATCTGGCCATTCGTAAGAATAATATCAGGACCATCAGCTGAAAGCCCCATCATCCTATGTAACAAGTGTTCTTAAAACAAAAGCAGTCTTGAACCACCTGATGTTACTCAAAAATAGCTAAACTATATAAACCTGCAATGAGTCTTTCCCCTTCTCTTGTTTCTTTTCTCTCATGAACTCACAATAACCAAAGACCAAGAAGAAATCACTCCCATGCCAAATGCAAATCAAACTGCTAGGTCAAATTACTTCAAGTAGCAATACGAGCAAAGCTGTGAGGGAACATGATGCAATATGGGCAGAGAGAGCCGAAGAGAAAGAGAGTTGAACAAGCATGAAAATGGAATGAATCAAAGTTCGACCATCAGCATTAACTTGCCGCACATCAAAATACTGAAATGACATCGCAAAGAGATTCACAAGAAAAACTTGGAAGTCAATTTTGTGGTTCAAGTACATCCACAGTGTATTATTAAGGCATTTTGCTTCAAAACCAGTCAGAGGAACTTCCTGTATGGCCTTCCATTATCCTCATCCTGCATATGCTGTTAAACACCATCCAAAGATTGTAGATATATCAGTAACTCAACTCGTTTGCTTTGAAAAGAGCATCCAAAAGAATCCATCATAAATCAAAGGATAGCCATACACACATAACAATATAGCCAGGTTATTGAAAATCAATATGCCAATCAAATCCACTCTATTTGTTTCATCCAGTCTCGAGTGAGCATTAATTAAGTTTTGAAGATACAATCACCTCAGAATAGAGTGATTAGTGCTCTTTATGCTCCCCACCAGATAAGATATTTGCCAAAGGTCAAACAACCTGCCCTAACTTGACTCCAATTTTCCTAGACCATATGTGAAAAGATCCAAAGACTACTATTTCTTCCGAATGACAGAAAAGCAGATGGGTTCAGTATATCATTGTGGTTCAAAAATCCAAGGATATGAACTTCCACAAGGTTAATGTGATAAAGCAAATTCCAGTGAGCCTTTAATCTTGGCTTTGTCTATATCCTTTCCCAGATTAAGCCCTCACTGCAAGTCAAAGATATAAAGGCTCGTGCACTTTGCCAATCGATTCAGTCACAACAGAAATAGCAAATAGGCTGTGGTGTGCAGCATATATCCTTGGATATCTAATCCGCCTTAACCCCCTCACCATCCATTTAACATATGCTTCACCGAGCGAACTCAATACAATCAACGGACCCATTCATCTCGTTTCTCCAAGGAGACATCCCTCCAGCCCTGCCCTTAACAGCACTCATCACTGTGTTTCCCGTGGCCAAAAATTTCAGATTATTCAAACCAGAGAAAAGCGACAAAGCCATCGTCATCGGCAAAATCAGTAAAAAAAGAATTCCGTCTCGATTCGGACACGCCACGAAATTCTTCTAACCATCAAGCAATTCACTGCCACCACACCTTTCGATCAGATCCACTAACTCCACCCTCTTTTTAAAGTCTCTAATCGATTAATCCTTTTCATAGGTAACACCCCGTGTCTTTAAACACACGGAAAAAAAAAAATGGACTTTATTAGCCTCCCCAGCCTTCCCTCTAACCGTCCACCACTAGATTACCTTTTTTCTGTATCCATTGCTATCCGACCCCTACCCTTTTCCTTGCAAACTCATGAACCGCGCATATCGCTCTCTTCTCGGTAATGTCCATTTCCTACACCACAATAAATCTTAACGCCATCCACCACATGATGTAATAAAAGCCATCGCTAGCCAAAAGGGTACACACAAAGCTTTGAAACCCATAGAATCCCAAATATCATTCCGGGGCGCAATCCCAAGTCAACCACCACTACGACCACGACTTAGGCTCCACTGAGCTAACTCTCTTAGGAAAGCGCGGCCGATCCACCGGGCACCGACTCAGATCGCAATCCCCAAATAAAAACAAAGGGGCAAGTAAGGGGATCCGAAAGGCCACACCAATCGATCAATCGGGGGAGGGGGAGGTACGTACGAATTCGCGGACGATGCCCTTGTAGACGAGGAGGGGGAGGGCGACGCCGAAGATGCCGACGAGGGCGAGGTTCCGGCGAGTCCACCGGAAGTTGTGCTCGAGATTCTCGCGGGCCGTGCTCCAATCCTCGATGAACCTGTTCTTCTGCGTTTCCATTCCTCCCCCCATCTTCGCTCGCTCTCTCTCGCTCTGTCTCTCCCTCTCAGACTCTCAGAGGCTCTCTCGTATAGGAGAAAAGCTCTTGCAATTCTAATGTTAAATAGGTTTTAACAAAAAAAAATTATTAAAAATCAAATTAAATTGGGCTGTTAATATTTTTTTTTTTTCATTCTTCTCTTTTTCTTAACCAAAAAGAAAATCCTTTATATACACACGTATTTGTTCTTATTGAATAACATAGTATCAGAAGATATTTATCGAGGAAGGTATTATATAAATGAAGGGTGCGCATGACAACCATTCTGTGCTCGGGAACTATTTCTGAACAGAAATGATTTTTTTTTATTCTGTGTCCGGAAACAATTTCTGTGCATTTGAAGGCATTTGGTAAACTGTCCAAAATTTCTATTCCTGAAATAGAAATGAATAGAAATGCGTTTGGTAACTACACACAAATTTCTTTTTATTAATAATATTTTGAATTGTTTAATTTTTTTTTTCTTTCTACCAAGGCCATGGCCGGTCGCCGGCGACCGGCGGCCGGCCATAGCCTAGGGCCGGCGAGGGCGTCACGGCCCTCGCCAGCCGCCGGCGGAGGCGAGGGTTCTCCTCGCCGGCAAGGGTGAGGGCTGGACCCTCGCCGCCTGGGCGAGGCTCGGCCTCGCCCGATCTGGGCGAGGCCGACCTCGCCATGACCGACGGCGAGCCGCCTCGCCCAGGTGGCGAGGGTCTAGCCCTCGCCCTTGCCGGCAAGGGGGACCCTCGCCTCCGCCGGCGGCCGGCGAGGGCCGTGACGCCCTCGCCGGCCCTGGGCTGTGGCCGGCAGCCGGCCGGCAACCGGCCACAACCCAAGAAGAGCAACACAAAAAGAAGAAAAGAAAAAAAAAAAAAAGAAAAAAAACTGATTCTCAAAATTGTGCTAGAAACAAGAAGCAACTTTTTTACTTCTTGTTTCTCTTCCAAAACCACTCGGCACAAATATTTGCAAAAATGTACCCGGGAACAAAAAGTTTACCAAACGCATTTCTGTTCCCAAATTATTTCTGGGAACAAAAGAACAGAAATTTTCACTGTTTGGCACGTTACCAAATGGGCCCTAAGTGGCCCTGGCAGAAATTTTAGGGGAAGAAAAACTTCAGGCCTTCTGCCCAAGTTTTCGACAGTGGGTTTATCCAAAGCCCACACACTTTTCCCCATATCAATATCGTGCAATCTATAGAGCTGCTAAATGTAATAAGAGATCAACGAGATCATACCCCGATTGGAAATTAAGAAGTTTAGGCTCCTGTTAAAGGTTTTGGACAATCGGGCGACCAAACTTGTAATTGCTATAACTCTTGTGATAACTCAGTGGCGAAAGAATCACATTGACTTTCATGAGATCACAAGTTCGAGTCATGTCATGAGCGACCTGTGGCTAATTTGTGCATTGAACATTTGCTACCTCATGCAACACATCGGTGGAGCTGCAGTGACAAGTTGTAGTTATGGCTTAAATTCCGTTATATTAAATATCCAGAGGGAGTAGCTACGCCGATCCTGCTCCCCAACTCTTTTCATCAACCGAAAAAAACAATATTAAAAGTTTCAATTAACCATTTTGCGGCAATTGGCACTTTACTTATCCCACAATAGTATCGATTATGAAGAACTATAAACCTATCTGGTGACCACAGTTGCACAACTACCATACCTTTGAAATAGGTCAAATAAGCGTGCATCCTACTCCTACTCAGTTGCTTCCCATGGCCGAGTTTGGGGGTACAATATGTAATGCTTTGCAGCAAATGAATTCAGTAATCAGAGTTGCCGAATCGAGAATCTGATCAAGCTCAACAGCACTCAAAACAAAGGATGCAGTCTTACGGAAAAGCAGGCCTCTCTTCCTCATTGGCGTTTCCTTTTTGAATTGAAGCTGGGTCTTATCAGTTGGTTCCCGCCAAAACCTTGCTCGGCAACATGAGTGAGCCTTGGAGACTTCTTTGGGGTCAAGACCGAAAAACATGGATCCGCAAGGAGTTTGCTGGCAATGTTGGGTGAAGTTGCTGTTGGGTTCGACTGTCTTGGCGCCTCCAGTCTCTCTAATATCCTCGATATTTTAGCATCATTGTGCACAAGGCCGTCTCCTGCAGAGAGGTCTATCACTTCGGTGGACTCCGATGTGCGTTTTGAGATACAAGTAGGAGTGAGTACTTTGGGCATCTCAATGACAAGCAGATGGCCCCATTCTTCTGCAGCTGTGCACTTCGTTGGTGATTGTGGAGGCTCCCCTTCTACGACTGGAATTTCCAGTTTTAGCTCTTCAGGTGCAGGAACAGCAGCATCTGACATTTTGGGTTGGCTGGATTTAGATTCAGAAGAAGTCCCCTTTGATTCTGGTGGTACTGATCTGGATAAGTCAGAAATACAATCGATTGGGGAAACAATGTCAGATCCACTTTTACAGGATTCAGTTCTGCTCCAACTTTTTCCCTCCTAGCTCGATTCAAGGCAGAGAGAATGCTGCTTACCCAAATTCTGATCTTTGTTCGATGAGCAAATTCATTCTTTGATGGAAGCCTCTGTCGTGCAGGATCGGATTGTAGTCTCTCGATTCCATCTGCACAGCTTTTCAGGTTCAAGATATCTTCTCTGTGGCTTTACCATAATGTCATACTTAATTTTCTGACATAACCAAAAGATAGATAGAGTGTCCCATTCACATCCAAGAGCCAAGCTTGCCGGTTGAATCAAGTAAAACAGGTACTGTGGAATTTTATATTACTTCTGACAACTTAATTATGGTACTGCCTATCAGTACTTGGAAAAAATATGATATGCTTCGTGATCCGAAGTGATTTTTTATCATGCTTCAATCAGGCAAAAAAATTATTTCAATGAAATCAATAGATTCTAGTAGCAATCTGCACATAGGATATATAAAAAAAAGCAAATTCCAAACTTGTAAACAATAATCAAAAGAGCAAAGACCCCAACCTTCAGAATAGAGGCTTTAATGGCACCCTCAGTTTCCTTTGACACGGAACAACTGAGATATTTATCAATATCTGGCAATGGCAAGACTTCCTCCAATCCAGCCAGACGCTGCAAAATTAAGGACATTTGTTAACGTGCATAACATGTTGAAGTATTCAGAAGTCATGAAAATATTTGACACATAAGTTGCACGCAAAAATCAAAGATTATTATAACAAAGCCAGTTGGGCAAAGCACCAACCCTTAATAGCATTGGTCCATTATCTGAAGGCTGAAGTATATAATAACAGGGGAATATGGAGGTCTTCATGGTTTCCGTGTTATAATTTGAAGAACATACCAACCCCTGGTCCAGTGATTGTAAAACCCAGCAAAGCCCTTGAAAGACTGAAAGATTCGAAAAGTTCATTAGTTTATAAAATAAGAAATATGATTGATTTACACTCAAAGATTTCCAGTGGATTTCATGTCACAGAAAAACTCAATGAAAACACATCCATCTTTTACAATGTAAATCTAGTTTGTAAAAAAAGGATTAAAATTCACCTATATCGCAGAGATCCCTAGAGCAATGCAAGTTTAAGGATTGGATCGGTTCAAAAGGAATAACAACAAAATAGCTGATGGGATGGTTTTTCGTGACAGGAGCAAAACAGAGACAGAACATGAATTAACAGTATGATGAATAATGTAAGAATTCTATTCAAGAAAACTGATACTTGTGGTGAAGGATCGTAAGGGAACATCAGGATTACTTGAAAGAGGAAGTGGACGCGTTGTTACTATCTTCAGGGAAGCATACACAATCCCAGGTAACCAAAAGAAATGTTGTTTACACTTGAGTTTTTCCAGCAGGGTTGACAGCTACTGTTTTTCATTATCAGCAGTACTCTTCCAAGTTTATTTCAAAGACACACTCACTCACTTTCAGTATTTAACTCCAAATTATTTCCAGATGAGGCTGTTCCTATCTCTGGACCAGCAGATGGAATTGCCACATGGGGAGTTCCAATCAGGGCACCTGCATTGAAAAATTTAAAAAGACAAGATATAAATGAAGTAGGAGCTTAATTTTTCCTTTCCACAGACAACCTGTTGCCCAAGCAACATCAAACATAAGGTCAGTTATGCTCCAATAAAGGACACACGCTGAATGTTGCCAAAGAAAGTGTCAGAATAAGTGAAACAAAGCCGTGCAACTTTATCAAGTGTCAATCTGACCTTTTTAACAGAACTTAAAATGACAGCAAAGAGGAAACAAAAGGCAGCAATTACATTCAATTTCTGAAGAAAGCATGATAACATTACATTTTAAACTGTACTGTTACTGATCAATATAATAAAGGACAAGATTCACGGGCGTCCTCCATTATGACGCAAGAAGGAATTATTAACAGAAGAACCAATTTCCCAGGCACAATGGCAGAATCACTCGATAACCTGCCCACAAAAGCTTGCCCAATCATAGCCATTTGCACGGCTTAAAGAACCACATAACTAACAGAAAGCAGACCATAATATCATGAGCATGTGGCAGAGACATACCTTCACTGAGAGAACTCAAATTTGTCCTCTCAATGACTTTGAAATCAATTGGTGAACAAACTAGCTGACTCTTCATAGAGTTCAATGAAGAAGGTTTGAGGAGGATTCTTCCCTCTCCAACTTTGAGATTATTCCCTATCTTTCTCTGCAGTACTTCCTCTTTGATGATTTCATGCCAGTTGCCTGTCTATTAAATAGCTGACCTATCACTTATATTTACCACTTAAGACAGTACGAGTAATTAACATGTGAGATGGAAAAAATATAGAAACTGCCCATAAATAAATGGACATAAACCACCACACCTTTCTTAATTGGCAAAGGAACATCACAACTTAATATTAAAGGCACAAGAACCATATAAATGCAGAGCAAAATGAAAAATTGCTAAACCATCCGAGATCCTTCATCTTACTGCAAAATAACAAATTTGTCCCTATGCTTATCGAAACTTATATGAATAGCTCTTAAAGCAAGTGAAAAGCAAGTAACTTCACTTCCACTCTGCAGCTCCGGCCTCAAACTTTCTAACAACTCTCTGCGCAATAGAATTATTTGCCACTGTTGTGATAAGTAATTTATGAACTGCACAATGAGCTAATTATACTGCTATATTGTTTTAGCCCTCAAGAAAAAAATGTTTCCTAGCTCATACGACCTATCTTTGTTGATTGCATTGGGCTGCTCACTGCCCAAAAGTGAAATTAAATGGTAAATTATCAGAATGACCGATGGACAAAATGGTTGATAAAAAGTTGATGGTTTTCTTTTACCTGGCAGGAACTGAAGCCATCAATTATTTGATAGCTAGAGATAGAAAGGTTGCAGGATATCTGGTTCACAGAGCCTACGAGATCATTATTGAAGGTAAAGCGAGCTTGCATTGACTCTTCCACTTGATCTCTTACGTATTGTAGCCACCTTTTTGTCATACCATCCAAAACTCTTGCGTCTGTGGAGGAACCTCAAGGTCTAATATAAGCAATGTACTCTACTCGGCTCATTATTCGTAATAATCAACAATGATGATAGCTAAACGATTGTTCAAGTGGAGCTTTCAATGGGGAGGTAGATGCTTTAACCTGGGAGACAAGCTGAGACGGAGCAGTTGTCCAGATCAGAGATGGATCGGACGAATCTGCTCGTATTTTCCTGCGTGTGCTGAAGATGGATAGACCCTGTCTCCAACACCAAGAACTCGACCGAAACACATCTATCCGCCGCATCCTGGCGGGGAAAAGGAGATTCAGCGGTCGCAACACCAACAGCCAAGCGGGCATCATAGTCAAGCAGGCAGCATAAATACGACAACGAATGTGAATATAACTAAAGGCAAATGCCATTGAGATGTCTTGAGCCCACCATGAGCGAGTCGTGAAGCGCGGGGTCCATCTCCGGAGGTAAGAAAGAGGTGACAACAACTATTTTTCTGGCCACGTCCTCGCTGGACCAGGAGTAGATAGATTCATCGGAAAGGAGGCTTGGGAGCTTCGCATCTGCGTCCGATCGCGGAAATGGGAAAGCAGTCAGCTCTCGCAGGGAAGGCTAGAATCGCATCGACAGAAAGGCATTACCGCAGCGAGAGAGACTTGGGGAATCGGGAACAAAGGCATCCGCAGGCATGCTCCCGACGGCGCGATGGAACGCGCACACATCGAAGCTCTCTCCGGGGCTATACGCGACCTTCAGCTGTCGAACGGGGAGAAAAACCGGCAGGCTTCGTCAGACGAGTCCGATCGGGGGATGACGATTTACACACACGAGTAGCGGCGATTCGGAGGCCGGTCGGAGCAACGTACGTGGTGAGAAGCGGCGAGCCGATCGAAGAGGACGTAGCACAGGGCGATCCTATCTCCGATGGCGGCGGCCGATCGCGACGGAGGCGAGGGAGGAGGAGCGACCGCGCAGTAGTTGGCGAGCTGCAACCAGCACTTCGCCGGAACGAACAGCGGATGAACATCAGCCAGTTCCGTCGAGCGGAGGAACGATCGATCGACGCGGAGGAGGGTGAAGAGGTTAACGGCGGCTCACCTGCTTCAGGCGGCGGAGCGATTCCGGCGGCAACGCCGGCAGGTCCGCCACGAAGCACAGCACTCCCATCTTCTTCTCTGCAACCTGCTTTCGTCTTGGCGCGAAACCGAAAGCGGAGGCCTTGCTATGATGCGGGAAAAAAAAAACGGAAAAACTTATTTATATATCGCAATTTTTTTCGACCAAATTTTTTTAAAAAAAAAACTAAGTTTATCTTATTTTTTCAGTAATAAAAAAATTTCTCCGTTGCATTTTTATGTCATCGAATTTAGAAAAACATATTTCTTCTCATATTGGAGTTTAAGCTTTTTCAATTGACAAAAAAAAGACTGATTTTTCGTGCTATTTGACGATAACATCACGTCTTTGTAGAGCAAAATCAAAGTAATTAGTAAGTTACCAAACACACAAGAAATGTGTACGTGTAAAATAGATAGAAAGTTCCGAAATACATACATATATATATATAGAAAGTTACTTTTTATGTGAAATTTACTAAGACATCAAAAATCGCTAATTTCTAATAGTTTAAATGATATGAACTATAAAAAAGAGCACGCTCGTTACGCGCGAAGAAAAATAAAGTCATTTACTGAAGAACAGAGAAATATATGTAAAGATTTCGATTCATTTTCTTTTAATATAAGTCAACTCTTCATAAAAGGAAAGACAAGAAATTTGCGAAACGCTAAGGCATTAATTTTAGCTTTAATTCGGGCAACCACGTATTATTTAAAAGACCGGCCAGAAAATTAGGAACGGAGGAAAATAAAGTATAATCATATCATAATAATGCGGGTAAAAGAAGCGATGGTGATATTGGACACGTCTTGGCATTTTCCATATGCGTTTTGACACGGACGACATGATCCGAGTTCGCGGCCAAAAGTCATCTTATCTACCGACAGCCTCTTGCTTTGGCGCATGATGGAGAGCAGCAAGCCACCGTTCTTTGGTCAGCGGCTTCCATGGTAAACGTTACTCTTCGAGATTAAACGCATGAATGCGGTTTATAAATTTTTAATTTGTTCGATACGCAATCGACCAAGGCTGATCGTCATCGTTGTCCAATCGATTGTCCTTCGTGGGCCCTTGAGGATGAGGAGCAAATTAAAAAGCTTTGGACGGGCGGTTGGGGGGGCGGGGGGGTGGTTGCGTGGGCCCTTGAGGATGAGGAAGCCATAGCATTTGACGCTGCGGATGAGGGGAGCGAGCCCGAATGCCTCTTCTACCCCTCGAAGTTTCCACCAATCAAAGTTTCGATTTTTAATAATGTTATTACACGCGAATGATGAAGGGAGGCGCAAGAGGACAAGAAAGGCCCAGGAATCTCGGCGACCCGGAGGGTCCATCATTTAGGGGGTATGGGCGGTTTTTGGCAACAAAGGGGGGAGGGGCACTTCTTCCTTTGATATGATCTTCTCTTCTGTTTGGTGTGCGTGTGTGGCGGTGGTGGCGACACAGTTATGGAGTTCAGGACAAGCGAGTTGAAGCCATCGGAGATGTGAGAGGAGTGGTGGCCGCTTCGCCTCCTTGCCCCATTTGCTTTTTTTATTTAATGGTTGCGAGGATGACGACGGCGACGTCGTCGATGATTTCCTCTTCTGGGCTGTAACAAGAAACGAGATGGGTTCGTTTTCTGAAGCGAGACGGCAACTGTAACTTCCTTCCCACCCGTATGCAATCCCTGATAGTTTGTCGATTCCGATCTGTTCTTGCTTTCTTTGGCAGTGATTTTCATGTTCCAAAAGTTTTCTTTCTTGATATATATATATCAGTTGGTTGGCCGTTTCTCGGTTTTCGAAATTGATGGTTTTGCATCACGGAATACAGAACGGGGATTTGGGTTTCTGTTAGCTAGTCGAGACTGAAGCATTCGCCCATTTGTTGATGCTGATGGGGGATCTTTCTCATTTTATTGCGAATGGTCCCATCATTCCCGGTTATTGCTGGTGCTCGAATTGATTATTGACTCGAATTCGCAGGGTTATGCTGTCTGGATTGCAATCCTAGAGGGCTTTAGAGGTCGCAACGGCGGATTTAATTCTCTTTTATGGGCAGTACAATGGGGGATGATGATTCTTATTCGAAGTCCGTTGGAAGATGGTCGGTCTTTTATTACGGTTCGGGGCACATGCTTAATGACATCACTTCAGCTTGTTGGTTTACTTACCTCCTGCTGTTTTTGACGGACATTGGATTGTCCCCGAGGTACTTTCTATACCTTGTAACACCCACTGCCAGGGATGTGAGTTTGCACAGACTATGGGTGACCTCGCACTGTCGTTCTTTCTTAAGTCACGGGACCCGATGAGTTCATTTCATTGATTTTTCGATTATCATTGGTTGTTGCACAGACATGAACTTCGAGATTAGTTTGCAATATTATTTGGAGACCATTCACACATTTGATAAGAAGGGAAAATATTTGTTTTTGCTTGTTGGATGTCCTGTGTAAAGATTTTTGTTAGCTTTAAAACATCACGCTACAGATATTTCACGTTATATGGATAGTGGATTTAATTTGTTTAAAATCCTTCAGATGTTCTTTGGTGTACAGTAAACAATTCAACTTACCCTTAGGGTAGCTGCATGGATAAATCTTATGTCATTATATAAACTGGGCACAAATTATGCTGCTTCATGTAAACCACGTCTTTGATGAGATTCTTATACAAGTTACTTCTCTGGCATTTTCATAAGTTGTCTCTTTGGGCACCTCATATTGCTTATGACCAATATCTAGCAAATAGTCACGTCATTTCTTTTAAGCGTCTCAAGGATCTGTTTTGCATGTTCCAAAAACCTTCAGCAATTTTGTAGATCTTATCCTGGGAGGCTAACATTTTATTCGACTTCACAAAGTTTTTATTTGACCTAATCTCATCTGATTGGTGCCGCCCAACCATCTGACTATCCTCTTTGTGCAACATTATATCCCTATTTTGGTTTTTGATTTCTAAGCAATCCATTGTAGAGAGCATAGCAAGTCTTGTTATCTTTATTCTTATTTTACTTTCTATCGAGCATAAGCGGAAGTGTTATCCTGGATTTATTTGTTCAAGACTATCTATTTCTCTAAAAAATAAAGGCTTTATAAGTCTTGACTTTTAAGGCATCGATTACAAAGCCGAAGAATTGTTCCTACACCTAGCTATCGTTAACTACAGTTGAAGAACAAGGTGAATCTTGATGATTCAAACTCTGCATCTAATACACTCAGTCTAAGTTGGATCAATTCTCAATCTAGTTTACTCCTCTCTACCTCTAAATTCCAATAAAACTTTGTTACTTTTGTCTCTCTTTAGTATTACCTCTGAGATTTTTTTCTATGGTGAACAAGCCTCATGTGATATTCTACACACAGTAGAGATCAATTACTGCAGGACACCTCTTATGCTTTGGAAATTGCGGTGACACCCCTTGTCAAAATTTTATTATATTTACCACATTACGTAGGTTGATTCTTTCAAGTCAGCCTTCAGTCTGCTCGAATTTTAAATGTACACATAAGCAACCTCTCATGTTTAATCAATAGGTTTTTCTCTTTTGTAACATTTTTCTTGCTTATTATTTGATAAGTAATCTCTTATCCAGAGATGCAGCGGTTGTTATGCTTTCGGGCCAAGTAGCTGATGGACTTGTGACAATATTTTCTGGCGAGCTGGTATATGACTAGTCTGTTTAGTTCTGAACTTATATGTGGATGTCTTTGCCCATGAGATAACTAATTTCTGTTCTTGTGCTTCATCACACCAGAAAAGTATACTTTTGGATATTGATACTTGCTTATTAGATTGTCTTTGGAATGCCATTATGTACAGTCGTCTTACTCATATTTTAATTCTTAAGAAAAAGCTTAAAAATAAGAGTAGCTGGAGCACCAACAGATAAAAAGCATGAGGATGAGCTCCAAAATATGGTGGGATAGCAGTTGAGGAAAACCATATTCGCTGATCCCAGTTGGTCACCTTTTTTCTATTTGCTTAATGAGAGGCCCATTTAGTTACTGAATATGGACATTGTGCACTATTTTCTCATCCATGCTAAGAACCTTGTTGCTTGACGTCTTTATTTCACACAAGGATAGGACTCGGAGTAGCTTCTTTTATTTCATAGCATAAGCCTGCCAACCTACCTTACTGAATCGCTCATTGTGATCCTGTCTTTTTCCTGAAGAGCATAAAAATCTCCTTTAATTTCTTAAGCATGGCCATGTTTCTCTTGGACATGTTCCTAAAGGCACTTCTTAACACATCTTTTGAATATTGAATATTTGGGATTTTGAACAAAATTTATGAATTTTTGAAGCTCTAGTATAATGGTTTGACCAAAAGCCATACGCAAAAGCCCTCTAAGAGTTGAGATGGTCCACATTAAAGTTCTTCATAACAAGTTATAGTCATTACCACTTTGGCTTATCAAGCGCCACAGCTTAACCGAAAGGCTAAAAGGCATAGTTAAAACAGGAAAAAGTAGAAGTCATCACTATAGTCAAAAGCCTATAGCCATCCCAAATGGGCCCTTACAATGTCAACTGCTAAGAAGTAGCAAGGTCTACAGAAAAAGTATCATGCTGCAGGATTCTTCACTTTGAATTCTATGATTATCTTCCTCTTGTGGGGCGTTTTTGGGTGGGGGAGGTTGGAAGGCAAATGGTTGAAGGAGCACAAGCATTAAATTTGTGATGGGGGGGGGTGGTGGTGTGGGAGCTGACATGGGTCCATGGGTTGCTGTGAGTTGCTGCTCTTCTCTATTCTAGGAACAAACCACCTCTTAAATTTTTGCAACAGAAAAGACGACTGGTGACTTCTGTCCTTGTGATAGAAGGCGGGTTTCCTTCATTATGGCAAGTAGTGTGTAGCTAGTACTTAAATCCCAGTTTCTTTAGTCCCTCATCGAATAAATCTCAACAAGATTATTAAGGTAAAGAACAAGACTTATATAGTTCCTTAATAAATGTACATTCGGCTATCTTGGCATAGCTTAGGCTCACCATTGTTTCTAGGCATTGTGTTTAAGTTGACACTATGCCCGTTTTTCATGGCATTCGCATCCCACCTGGATGAAATCCTTTACAACCCATGGTTGGGCATGCATTAGTTGGGATAACAAGAATTTGTCCAATCGGAGTTGGCATCACTTTGGTGATTTGGATTTTCTGTAGGATAATGAGTCCAGATTGCTCAAAATTACTATCTTGCTAGAGAGTTAATTTAGATCCTATTCCCTATGCAGAAAAGATTTTGTTTTCCGCCAGGGACAGATTCAACGGGGTCTTGCTAACATGTTCCCTCAAGCAATTGTTAAGTATATTTGATTGAGAATGTCTGATTTTCAAACCGTTGATTGTACATAACACTAGAGAAACATTGTAATTGAAAATTACAATTTCTTTAAGTGGCTTCTTAACAAGTTCCTTGGGGACACATTTAAACAAAATTCGAACTAGGGACACATTTAAACAAAATTCGAACTAGTTCGAAGAGGCATAGTTCAACTAGGACATTATGCCCTTCCCTGGTTGCCATCCAGCTCAAAGCACTTTGAATTAAGATTTTGATTTTCATTAATTTTCCTACTTGAGAAGTTATGATCAATGTTCTGTTCAGATGTTTACCAAGAGGAGGAAAAAATTTTGGCTAGTGGGTCCTTGATTTAATGCCCTATGAGCTATTTAGTTGTTCTATCTATACACAGTGACTTCTGATCTCTTACAGATGGGGATATCAACTATGTGCCATCTGGTAGTAATTTTCAGTAGTCAGAATATATACTTGGCTTAGCGCCATTTATATGGGCAATAATGGCCAAAAGTTGGGCGGGGCGTAGAATTGTAGAGTAGAGATAGTTCACATAATGTTCTCAAAATGTTCATGCCTTGTACTGCTGGTTATCACTTGCCACATGAGATTAATCGCTTGCCTCTCTTTTATATGGATATGTATCTGTGCATATCTCGGTTTTGAGTAAATGTTGATACAGATATGCTTAAAGGACATCAGTATTTAGTTTCTCCTTTAATCTATTTGTTGTCACTGTATCTGAGTGTTAGTGCAACTAAAACTTGGTACAATTGCTCACCCTTGTTCTTTTCTTAATTATCTATTTGATAGATAGACAGGTTTGGACATTTCAAAGTGTGGCATTTGGCAGGATCCATTTTGGTTGCTATCTCCTTTTCTTCAGTTTTTGGTGGTTGCATACCTTGCAACATCTTTGGTAGCCATTCACTGACAATGGAAACTATTGGGTATAGTGCATTTGCAGCAATCTTCAATGTGGGTTGGGCTGCTACTCAAGTGTCACACATGTAATGGCATTTCTAACTCTTAAGCTAGTTGAGCTTTGTGCAATCAATTATGTGGTTCGCTCAGTGACAAGGGGAAGAATTTTCATATCAGATACAAAAGAAGGAACAATGTTGCATGTTGCAAATTGCAATAATTTTTAACATAATGCATGTGCCATTTATGGGTATCAGTACCAGTCTCAGTTCCTGTTTTGGCATATACTAGTAAGATATGTGGAAGAATCATATTTGGTCCTTTATATTGACATGGTGTTTCAGTTTGTCTTAGAATTATAATAGTGTAATTTTGGTAAAGCACGTTGGGCTTTTACTCTTTTTTATTTTAGATACTAATCATTCCTTGAATGACAAATGGACTATTTTGTCATGTAAGCATTGCTGTCAATTAAGCCAAAAGTAGAAGGCTATTTTGTGTTCAACATCACTGACTGTTTACTAGGTCTGATATCTTCAAGAGCATAACCTGCTTATGCATTGGAAGATAAAATTCGCCTCGTGTAATTATGTAAAGAAGATGCCTGCTATGTTCATGGTAATACGATTTTGTCCATTTATTAACTCAACTTTTAACTGCTAACTATATCAGCAAGGATGCTAATGGAAGAATTGTTTATGTGGAAGTGGTGATATTATGACAACTTCTATGGGTCAATTAGAATAAAGAAGATTGGCCATATCACCATGTGCCATATCTCTTTTCTATGTGTATGGGGCAAAATATAAAATAAGATAACATGTAAAGAAAAATATTGATTTTGTTGAGTTGGCTCTGTTTATTCTCTTGAAGCTTCATGGTCAAAGTTTATTTGTGCTAAAAGATCTGTTGCTATCTTTGAAGGTCTATGATTAATTGCATTACGCTGAATTCAACAAGCAGAGTGGTGCTCGCTAGTTGTCGTAATGCTTTCACCATGGTCAGTTCTGTTCAATCAGTATGTCCATCACTGCACGGTTTGCTGCATTCTTGATTATTTTACCTCCAAAACTTCATATTTTTCAGGTTGCCAACCTGAGTCTATATGCTGTAGCTGGAATAGTCTTCACTACAACAAGTTCAAACACTCATGATGATATTGAAAATCAAGTATGTATAATTTTTCTATGTTATGATTTGTATGAGTTCCTTCTTTATCCGAGATTACTCTTGTAAATGAGCAGTATCGCTGGATAGCATATTTATCAATAGCTGTTGGATGTTGCTTCGTGGGGATATTTCATCTTGGAACCAGAGAGCCACGGTGTGCATCTCTCTCTCTCTCTCTCTCTCTCTCTCTCTCTCTCTCTCTCTCTCTCTCTCGCTCGCTCTCTCTCTCTCTCTGCGTGCACGCGCTGTGTTAAGATGGATGCAGATGGGCAGATGGATATGCCTCTTGAGCTGTGTGCTTGGTATTTTTATAATTTTAGAAAATTACTTGCTGCTGCAATGTATAGATGCCAATAGTCACTCTTTATAGCCTATTGCGGCCTTGTACAGGAGTAGATAGAGGAGTGAGAATCTCGATTTTAAGGAATTAACTTGGTTGATTCTAAGTTCAGTATTATTGACAAAGTAGGATTTTGTTCGAAGTCCGTGGGCATGAGTCGTCGGGTAGTGTTGTGTTGCATTTGTTGTCTCTTACAATTTTCTGTTGTCCTGTTTCAACTTAGGTTGAAAGCCAATGCTTGTGTGGACAACCAGGCTAGAATTTCATGGGATTACTGGTTCAAGAAAGTTTTGTACTACCAAGTTGCTCTTGTTTATGTGCTTACAAGATTAGTTGTCAACGTTTCACAGGTTAGCCTCTTACCTCCCTTTGGTTTTCGGATGCTTTCTGCATGACTTGTACAAATTTAATTGACTCTGTAACTCAGGCAATATTAAATCACTTAATTTGCTTTGCAGTGCTTCTCTGTTCTTGATAATGAAAAGGTGTGTAGTGAGGACATATTGGTAGTTTTAGTGGAGAGATCCATAAAGAAGTTTATACATCTAGGTCCTCATTTGAGATTGTTCCCAGCACAGTAAGCATGGAAATTTTGACGTTGTAATTCAACTCTTTGTGGTGCAAATATCATTTCTTCCGCTGATGATTGTTGGAGTTACTTGTGTGAGAGATATTTGTGCCACGGTGCCACTAATGCTATTATTATGTCAATGTGTAAATATTATCAGGCATATCTTGCTTTCTATGTCATTAATGATCTGCGGATGGCCCAGTCAGCCAAAGCTCTGGTACATTCAGAAATTTTCTAGCACATTTTTTCATGTGTATTTAAGAATTTTGAATTTGATGATTATTTTTTTGGTGAAAGTAGGTCCCTGCCATTATTTATGTTTGCAGCTTCTTTGTATCCGTCATGCTACAGGTGCCATCATGGGTCTCATACCTCTGATTTTTTTTTTAAATTTTAAAATATTCTGTGTGGATATCTTTGCTTTAACAATGTTACTTGGAAAACCTGTAGGAGGTAGCTTGGACTGGACAACGACTGAAGGCTTACTATTCTGCAGGAGGCATTCTCTGGGTATTTTGTGGTGCAGCAATATTCCTGTTACCAAGAAATATGAGTTCATTCGTTTATGTTTTATCGATATTTATTGGCGTGGCGAATGCTCTCATAATGGTAATCATTTTCTGCTACCTTGTTATTTTGAGCTGCCATCAGTCATCTTACTTTTTTTTTTTTTACTTCCATAGTCGTGATGACACTTTACTGGATATTTTGGGCCGGTGTAGCCATTCCTGCACCTGGTATTTATTCTTCCTTTTGATTCCTTTAGGTGTTCCCTCTGCCAAATTATTTAGTTTTGCATTACAGGTGACGGGGGTAAGCATGCAGAGTGTCTTAGTTGGTGAAGATCTAAATGGCTGTGCATTTGTGTGTGGATCCTTGAGCTTTTTGGACAAAATTTCATGTGGGATCACTCTTTATATTCTTCAATCATACCAAAGTAAGTTAACCATATGTTCCTACTTTATTGTATTTACTTGTTAAGATAATCTCTGATCGTTCTCTTTTTATTGACTAAAAAGTAGCAAATACTTTAGTTAGACTTCAATATCTTCATCTCAAATTCTGCAGTAGAAGCTTGAAAAATTACTAGATATCCACATGTTGAGGTCCTACTGAACCACTGCCTGAGCAATGATGCCTATATTACGGAAGTACTCCGAAGTTTTCTTAATTGGCTTTTATTATATGCATTTCAATTCCAAGGAAAGGTTTCTAAACATTTGAGGTCTGGATTGTGTTAGTTTTGAATGTTAGCAAATCTACAACATGAGTTAAGCATGTATGAGGACCCTTAAGAAACTATAAAAAGCTTGGAAGGGCCAGGCCCCTTATAGCCTCATATGCAATTTTCCATGATGAGAGCATCAGTTCGATGGTCCCATGTGTCTTTTTAGGACATAGATTGTGTGTCATCCTTGCTTGATCTTGGTAGTGGGTGAGGTGGCTTGAACCAATAAGATTGGACATAACTAAATGTCTAAATGATGCTTGCTTGTGCATTGAGGCAGATCAAGTCTTATTTGTGACAGTGCTGCTACGATTCCATTAGTTTCCAGTGCTCTTGCTGTCTCCACCATCAGATGGCAATCTGCTTTAGGTAGATTTGATCTCACTGACAAGGAAAGTGAGGAAGTGCTTTAATCATTCCAGCAACTAGTGCTAGAAAAGTGCACGAGGCAGTTGACTTGGCTCTAATTTAGAGTTAAACAGCTGTTCCCCTGGATTTTTTATTTATATCGATTCATTCTAGTTGTCAGCTTCATGAAATTAGAGAGACTATAATATCTACATGCATTTTCTTGGGGTCAAAATTTTCTTACAATTATTCCAATTGTTGGAGTACATCAAGAAAAGTTGGTAAATTCAGCTCAAGATGGTAATGAGCAAACAAGGGGATATGGTATCATAAAGTTAAAATTCCTGGCGAGCAGAGGATGTGTATAATCTGAGTGCCTAATTACATAGAAATATGGGCACACGTGTCTCCTGCAGAGGTAAAATTGTAAGTAGTGGACTCACAAGAAGACTTCATAGGGGGCAGATAGACGACAATTTTCAGAATTATCATGCATTACATTTGAGGCCAGTTATGAACTTAAGTGTAAAGGAATGTAAGATCACTTTATAACATTAAAGTGGTCTAAAACATTTTCAATCGGAAATCATATTGTCTTTATATTTGTAAGAATCATCACGGGATATAAGAAAGTCCACATCATTTGTATACCGTTGTCTTTAAACATGAGGTTTTCTTCTTTTTTCATGTTGGTCAAACACCACCACATGCACAAAATAATCACCTGTGGCGGTGGCTAGTGAATTGGGTTAGTTTTCCACAAACACGATGTGATGAGGTTGAACCACTTGGAGGAGTAGTGGCTTTCTAGCTTTGTGCAGATGGATTCTGTATCTCTAGCATCTCGGTGGCATTTCGGTTATGGGCTCGTCAACCATAGACCTTTGGGCCATGGGTAGTGTTTAATAACTATGCCTCAAACCAAACATTTCTTAGGGGGTAGGGGACCTTTATGGTGATGCCCAAAGGGAGTCCCCCACTTGCTTTTTCCCTAGAAAACAAGACGTGCACAAATGAGCTTAAAGGGGCTGAGAAGTTTTGTTCAATGTGCTGGTCATTGAGGAAAGACGGAACTAGAAATAAATCTATCCAAAGAAAGGTACGTGCTGCTCTGGTCAAAGATAAGGCGATAGAAGCCCGTGCAAAAGGAGTTGATCATGTGGAAAGAATGCCTTATGGTGGTCCACTCTTGGGATGGATACTTAGATTAAGAGGGGTAGTAGAGGACCTACAAAGATGTGGCGAGACCTTAGGGAAAGATATAGATCACTGAGAGCTGAAAGGAGACTCGATACATTAACAACTGCATTAGAAATGAATGAGAAACAACCAAAGTTTGTCTTACCACTCGCAATCTTGTTCTTAAATCATAGTTGTGGATACGCCCCAATTAGATTATGCAGTCAAAATCTGTCATACATGTTTGAATACATCCTTGTATTTAGTTTTGCATGTTTTCTTTTTTATTCCAAATTCATCTAATGACATTTTAATGCAGCCACCTCATCAGAAACTCAGGGAGACCTTGCAACTGATGCCTACGTTTCGGTATCAAGATTTGGTTTGGGACTTGTGCCCGCATTTTGCTCACTTGTAGGAGTGGCTACTACATACACCATGAATCTCCATCCGCAAAATTTGAAATCTACATTGGTACCTTTATTGGAGTAAGTCCTGAATCCTCCAAGAACCACTGTTTCTCTGAAAGGAACTCGGTAGTACAACCCAGATCAGATGGAGAAACCTCGTGTGCCAATAGTGGAGGGAAGCTACATGTTCAAGGAATTAGCATAGAAGATATTCACATTTATTGATTGCTATGGCACGGGAATTCTAGGTGTTGTATCATGGCTATTCACAGAATTAGTTTATATCATTGGCTAATCGTCAAATTTCACGAGAACGCCCTTTCTGGTGGGTTATAGATAACATTTTATTTTTTTCAAATTCGATTACATATCTGTTATTCTTACTTATCATACTCTATAGAGATGGTAATGTATATAGCTCTGGATCATAGAAGAGTATACAGATTTTAAGAATCTAGTGTGAAATCTACAACCACCTTTCTTTTCTCTTAATAAAGACATTCACCCGGTTATTTGTTTGACAAATTACTTCTGCCCTAGACCTTGATCGGTATCTTTTGCATTTAAACTAGTTTGCATGTATGCCCGCTTTCTGTTCACCATGGTTGTGTTCGCGTGTTTCCTCTCTGGCTTCCTTTCCCTGTCAAGTTGTGGAAGCAATGTCTTATCCTAGAAAGCGGCCCACATGGAATATATGAGCTTAGTTGGCTCCACTCAGAAAGTGACACATGTCCTCTGACATGGACATGGATAAAAAATAAAAAATTAAAATCCGAAGCTTTCTCCTTCTTTTCTTTAGTCGGTCAGTAGACTGCAAAGTAGGTGAAAAACGACAGAACAATAAATGTTAAGAGCGCACGTGAAATTCATTCTGGAGTAGAAATTTTGCTCCAGAATGCATTCCGGAACAGAAATGCGTTTGTTAAAAAATTTCCGGAATGCATTCTAGAGCAATTTTTGCATTCTGGAATAAAAATGCGTTTGTTAAAAATACTTGATTTCAGAATGTATTTTTTATTCCAGAATGAGTTTTGGGCAAGAAAAAGAGAAGCTACTTTTTGTAGCTTCTCTCTTCCATAATGCATTCTCCCTATTTTCTCTCTTTTTCGTGGCATTTACAATACATTTTGAGATCTCACTAATTTTTTTTTTCAGAAAATACATAAAAATTGAAAAATTCCAGAAAAATTCATAAAAATTTCAGGAAAATAAAAAAAAAGTCAGATTTTGGGAAAATAGGAAATTTGGTGAATTTTTTTTCAAAAAATATAAAAAAAATCAAAAATTTCAAAACTTTACAGAATGGCTTAGAATACCTTTGGGCACCCACTTTGAGTGAAATTTAATTTTTTTGAGTTGCCCAAAAAAATCAAAAAATCAAAAATTTCAAAACTTCACAAAATGGCTTAGAATACCTTTGGGCACCCACTTTGAGTGAAATTTAATTTTTTTGAGGTGCCCAAAAAAAATCAAAAAATTTAAAACTTCACAGAATGGCTTAGAATACCTGTGACCACCCACTTTGAGTGAAATTTAAATTTTTTTAGGTGCAAAAAAAATTCAACAAATCAAAATAGATTTCTGTTCCAGAAATTAATTTCTAGAGCAAAATTAATCATGTTTTATCAAACAGATTTCTCCTCCAAAATCAATTTCTGGCAAGAATTCCGGAAATCAATTTCTGGCAAGAACTTGATTTCTGGAGCAGAATGGTTACCATTCGCGCCCTAACCCACTTAAATCTCCCTCTCTTCTTTTCAATTTTCAAGAGCTTCTACCTTCTATACCTTCTCTCTCCTTTTACGTTTCTAAAACTCTCTCCCTTCTTTTCTTTTCTTTTCTAGAGCTTCTTCACCAGCTCTCTCTCCTCTTTTGCGTTTTCATTTTACCTTTGAAAGATGCAGAGGTGCTCTTTCACGTTTCCGATCACTCAATACTTCGAATGCTCCAAACAAGCTGGCTTGGTCTGCTCTCACTTCTCTTCTTCTTCTTCTTCTTCTTCTTCTTCTTCTTCTTCCGGTGAGTGTGGTCGTCCGCAGCCACATGTCATTTCTGGTTTGTCTGAAGAGAGTCATCAACATCGTCGTCGTCATCCTAGTGCTGCTCCTCTTGGTGTTCCTCCTCAAAAGGTTGGGTTGCCTTCGGTTTTGTTGTAATATTCAAGCATAGGTCATGTTACGAAGAGATCAGTAACCTTACCAATGGTGTGCCTGTGTTGATTTTCTTTTTGCTAATGTAAAAATTGTTATAACAGGATCTGTCTCTCCAGCAAGTAAAAGTGAGAGAAAAGCGACTTGCGCATGTCAAGGAGCCAAGAAAGCAATCTAGAACGTGCGACGGTGACGTCGCAAAACCGTCAAAGGAACAACGCTACGAGTAACTAGCTCGCAACAACATCAACAAGATTGTCAATAAATTGCAAGAAGAAGCTGGTTCGGTCGCTTATCCTCAAACGGTCCCACAAAGACGACCCCAAAGCCCGTCGACGAAGATTTCTACAAAATTTCCCGACCTCCTTCCCACCACCAAGAGGGTCAGTGTCTCTCTCTCGCTCCCTAGTTAATCGCCTCCAATTTATATGGTTGATCTTTTTACGAGGACTGTCGCTTTGATGAATGCTTTGACTCCTTCCTTCTCACATTGGTTCAGAAGAAGACGTTGGAATTCATCTCAAGATGTCTGTTCCAGTTTGCTCAGCTAAGCTCATCGTCCCCAGTGCTAGTGATAACTCAAGAATGTTCACACTTATAGTTTCTTTTATTATGGTATTGCTTTTTGCCGAAAAATTGTGGAGAGAATTGATATATGCATCGAGTATAGACTGAGGACGCAGAAGTACATTTCTGGATTCCAAGATGGCTACACTCCAGCCATGTGGTCATTCTTAATGTACTCATTTAGGAGCTTTACAATTGGATGATAACGATGGTTAATTTGAAATTCAGTCATTGAGGAAACAAAGAGATCGAAATAGTCGAGTTGAATAGCCTAACGAGCAAACTTCATTTTGCTACTGTTGACACTTAAGGAGCATGGAACAGTTCGAACCGGTTTGAATTGAACTCAGGTCAAATTGAAATTGTCGATCTGGTTTGGTTCAACTAGGGAGAACTTTCCCAAGTTCGATTTTTGAACTTGAATGGGATCAAACTTCGAAGCTGGACGACTAGTTATTTTAGCTGCAGGTAGTTTCATTCAAACAGCAATTCCTTCTTGTTATATTTCGTCGGTCCGCCCATGATGTGTGTGTCCAAGGGACACCATTTGCTCTAATAAGAAGTGTGTCTGAGAGACATCTTTTGAAGAGGTGCGAGGAGAGTTTCTTAAGGGAAGTTAAGATAACTTCCTCAGAAGATGAAAACAATATACAAGAGATAATTAGAACTCTCTCTCTCTCTCTCTCTCGACGTATAAGGATTCCGTATCTACTTTGAGAAGACAATCGGCATTAACGCTGTAGAACAAGAATACTTTCCCTGTGATTGTATTCAGACCAACATGAAGTAGATTCGTTCATCGTTTGCTGGTGATTCAACGTACGATCCTGAAAATTTTGTTCGTAGTGCATCGAACAGGTTAGTCGATTCTCCCGACACTCGCTTCCAACATTGGTATAAGAGCCTCGGTTATAATCTCTGCTTTGTTTTCCTGTTGATTTTTTTTCCGCTTGCTGTTTGATATGGAGATCATGATGATGAACTTCATACTGTCTGCATGTTCATTGCTCGGGAATTGCAAGATGAATCGACGAACATGAATTGAAACGAAGAACGGGTTTGAAGGTTACGGGCAACCGTTCTGTTCGGATGATTTTCGACAAAAAATTTACAGTGAAAATCATTTTTTATTATATAGAAATGAAGCACTCGTCGAGACGAGCAGAACGGTGGGTTGAACGCTGCCGGAAGATGCCGGACGCGCCCACACGAGCGCCCAGAAGCCGCGGCGCGTGGGAGCCACGCGCCCAAGGCGCTAGCCCTACCAGCGCGTGAATGGTACGCGCGCATCGGCCAAACGGCGCGTGCTGACGTCATCGATGACGTCAGCAAAACTGTCAGTAACGACACGCTGACGTCATCTCGCCGGCCAACCTACCTCCAGCAACCGGCGACCCGACCCGACCCGACCCCGTGACCTGACCCGAACGGTGACCCGACCCGTGACCGGTCAACGGTCAACAGGTCGGACCGATCAACGGTTGAACCGGTCGACGGTCGAACCGGTTGGACCGGTCGGACCGGCTCAGAAGCCCGTATTGGGCAAGCGCGTGCGCCACACGCGCCACACACTTAGGCGACGCGTGTTAGCGCGTGCGAGCTCCAATCGGGCTGTGGTTGGTACTTTTGTTTTCGTATTGAAATTCTCTACATTATGATATAGTTATTTTATATGTTTGAAGCTTTTAAAGGTATGAAAATGCATACGGAACCCTAAATACGTGTATTTTTTGGGTATTATTGCATTTTACTTGTATTTCCCTATGGTTTTGAAAATACAGAAGCTGGCTTACATGTAATTGACCACATAAAGATTATGTAGAGCATGGTTCATTGATGACATGTTTATATGGTTTGACGTGCTTGTAATTTCCTAATTTTGAGCATACTAAAATAATGGCCGGAGATCCTTATATTTTCATTACGTCATGAATTCCGCTGTTGATTATATTTGTTGCATGAATGTTCTATTTGTTGATTTACATCATGCCATGCTATATGATTGCTAGAAAGGATATGATCATTGTTTTAAATATTTTTTGTGAATTATCTTTTCTAGTGGGAGTTCGTAGGTTGGCAGAATTAGAAGAAATTCTCACCTAGAACTTAAAATTTGTACAAATTAAACAAGTTAATGATAGTAGAATAATCATACGCCAAAACTGATTGGGAACATCGTGAACTTTCGTTTTGGTGTCTTTTATTGAATTATCATTAATTTAGTTTGTCTTTGCTGTAAATTAAAATATGTGTGTTTATGTGGAAATTGTGCTAGTATTGATTTTGCGTTTATTATGTCAATGTGTAGTAGATAGTGATTATGGCTTCGACATCCAAGACCATTGTGGCTGACCTCAATAAGGGTGAGAAGCTGAACGGTGACAATTATGATATTTGGCACCGAAAAGTTCAATATATCCTTGAGGAGCAAGAGGTTTTGGAAATCCTCAACCACACCATGGATGAACCTGAGCATGGAACTTCTGCTCAACACAAAAGAGATCAAGAAACTTTTCAAGTTTGGAAAAAAAAAATAGCATTGCTTGCATCACGTTGCTGAGTTGTATGCAAGATGATCTCATGTGTGAGTTTGTAAGTTATGACAAAGCTCAAGCAATGTGGGTTGCCTTGAAAGATAAGTTTGGGGTTACGCCTACCACTAAATTGAGGAGGCTCACCATCAAATTTGACACATACCGGAAGCGCTCAAATCTATCTATGAGGCAGCATCTTCGG